GTCAGTCTTTTTTATTTTTCTTGTCTATCACACACCCCACCTGACACCAATTGTTACGTTTTTCGTCGGTTCCGTGTGGATAGAAAGTCACAATTTATTTAAACACTATTTATTTAACACTAATTAACAAAATAATAACGATAAAAGACTTATAGAACTATTTACAAACGATTTATAACTAAGAATTTATTTTGAATTTTAGCGCGTCAACTGTATATTTATAACTGCCCTCTCTAGGCCACTGCCGCCGGCTTTATACCGACAGGTAAAAGAAATCTAGAATAGTCCAAAGATCGTTAGGCGCATAGAGAAGGTTTTCGAATGTTCTCGTATGTACGAGTCCATTCTAGTGGGTCTCGATTCTTCTCGAACGAATGAATCATTGCGGTGTCTATGCGATGTTAAGGTCATCCGAGGGCGGGCCATATTGTGAGGTTAGGTCGAGTCCACACGTCGAGTCCACACCGGCTCGCAACAGTTATTTAGACTATTTCGTTGGTTTATTTTCACAAGATGCATTCGGTAGGAGAAGGGTTCAATAAAGCTGATTCGGGCAATCTCCCAGAAGTGGACATTTTTATGATAATGGATTATTTTAATAAAAATAAGGAATTTATTAGTTCAGAAATGAAGGAAATAAAGTTACAAAGGTACCTAACTAAACCTTTTAATTTCTATTATATTTTCCTTCTAAGATATTTTCTATTGCTTAAATACCTATATCTGTATCGGAAAGCAGTGGCGGCTCGCTAGGGTAAAAAAACAAAGGGTTATTTACCCTATATGAAAGAAAGCAACCTATGCAATCTTCTTCTATTTGTAACATTAATACAATTAATTAGCATTTTGAGGCTTTTTGGCTAATTAATGAATTAACAATTGTTTATTGTTTATATTAATAATATAATTAAGTTAGAATATGAATATAATTAATATTGAATTAATACATAATAATTGTACAAGTAAATAAGAGACTTTCCTCAAATATATATTTTTTGGTTTCCTTTAATGACTAAAGTAAATTTTAAAGCGCTAGTACCTAAAAATAATATTATTATATATCGGAGTGTGGCGAAAAACATTTTAACACGCTTGTAGAAAACTATTTTTAATTATTTTTGAAATTTTAAAAATTTTAATTTAAAAAAAAACAAAAGTAAATTAATTTTGATCAATTATTAATAAATATTCTCGCGAAAAATTCACGAAAGAGAAAAAATCAGTGGTTTCATATACAGCTGACAAATACTGAATTGATTTTAAGATATGTGATTGACTAGGACTAGTTCGAGGTTGGTCCGCGAAAAGACGTAATACAATAAATATATAGAAAAATATTTCTACTTTAAGCTAAAAACTGATACGTAAGCTATGTACTTTTTTCTTACAGATCCGGCAGACAAAATTATGGTAATAATGCCACTGGATAATATGTGCAGTTAAAACAACAGCAATCACTATGACAAGTAGTGGCAAAAATTACACCGGAGCACAAAATTAATGCAAAAAATTATAATGTACAATGCATTATTATATCCATATATTTTTTTTACTTTTTCTAGGGTGAGGTTTTTTTAATAAATTGAAAGATTTTTTATGCGACGTTTCGCTCCAACATAGTGGGCTTTATCAGGCACTTTATTCTTGAAATCGCCTTGCTAGCACTAGTCTGTATAAATTAGTGTGATGACTGTGTTTTTTTACCCAAGAAAAAGTAAAAAAAATATATGGATATTATCTAAAGGTTTAAGAAATAAGAAACGATTAAAGTATTATTATAAATACTAGCGGAAAAAGTGTAATAGAAGCAAAGTGTAATGGCTATGCCGCATCCGAACGTGCAAGCACGCGGTAGCATTTCTTATGTGGCTGCATAAATTTGATGGTTTGAAATGCGCTCCTCTTGATTGCTCTTGATCATGCATTTTAAGATCCTTGTCTACTGTATTGGCCCCGAAATGAAAGTTTTCATTTGCCTCCTGTCTCGCGTCTTTTAATATTCCCTTAATAATGGCTGCTTGTTCTCTTTTTTTCGCCAATCCTCGAGGCTTTACAGTATTTGAAGCAGAAGATCGTTTTTTGGCACTCAAAAATGTAAGGAATAACACCTGATTTTAATTTTATTCTTCCCGATTTCATAGTTTTTAAGTACATATATGTAATTTTCTGTCTTCTTCAACCTATATTAAAAAAAAAATAGGAAACACTACTTGTAAGTATTAACTTACATTAAAGTGATCTTCACAACAAAATCTGGTGCCTCTGTCAGGGACAAAATCATGTCTTCGCATTGCATGCTGCCATGCTCGTCTTAACTTTATGTCGGACGGTAAAGAAACAAATAGTTTTTCTGGGGAATTTTTATTCGTATTTGTGCATCCTGGCACTACACAACGTTTCCTTGTCTTTTTTACACTAATATTGAATAAAAGAAAGACTTTAGTACTACACTACGGTATACTATAAATTTAAAACACACTTTCTGTAATCGGGCAAAGCAGACCTGTGCATTGTATCGAGCGCGGTCGCCAGCCGACCTGTGGTGCTATGACGTAGCGGCTGGCCACGCCCCTTTCTCGCGCAATAGATGTTTGTACGTGTTTTTGAGGTACTAAACGTACGAATAAAATTCTAATTTTTGGTAGATCTGTTATTTTTTAGTTGTACTTTCGATTGGTAAAATAAAAAAAAATTGTGGAACAAGCCCATTGTCATTTAATTTGGGGTTATAATTTTATTGATGGGCATCGATCAATGTCAAAATTAAAATTTGATTGTTGCTGTAAAACAAACTTCAAATTTTTTTATTGCAAAAATGCCTCAAAGATTTAACCAAAATAAACGAGAGCTCATTGATAAGCTTATAAATTATTTTTCCCGAGAAAGAGACGCATGTAACACTCTTGCCCGTGGACTCCATATATGAAGTAATTACAATGCGAAGGTGTAATATTCCTATGTAAAATACAAATTGATAGCGATTTGTTGATGCTTTAGAAATAGGAATTTCAACAGTTCAAAGGTTTGGAATTAAAGAGATCGTTACTGATGAAGCGTTAAAAAAATTAAAAAAAGTCGGAAAAAACGGAACTCGCTCAATCAATAATATAGGAACTAGTGGTGGGCAAAACCGTTATTTTTAGATAACAGTTGAAATTGTTACTGTTAGTTATATATAACAGCTTAAAATAACAGGTTTCTGTTAATTTTTGACTTTAATGTTAAACATCTAAAATAGCATACGCATTGTCCAAATTGTAGTATAATCATAAAAATCGTCATATTTATTTCTCAATAAAAAATAATGTACTTAAAATATAAAATTTATAAGTAAATTAAACCCTGTTTTAATTTTTAGAATATGTTTATTATATTATTAATAATTAAGGCAATAATTATTAAGGAAATCAATATTACTAATATTAAAAAAAATAATTAGCTTACAGTCTTTATTTATGTAAGCAGCTGAAAAGCACTTAATATTTCTAATTCATTCACAATTTCATGATATCATTATTGGTGATAGACAAATAAAATTGTCTTTGAAGAGTTTTTTTTAAAACGTAGCAAAAACAATGAAAGTACATAATATTTAAAAATATTAATAAAAATAACTAAGTAACTGAAAGTTAATAACTAAGTACTGAAACCTCGACTGAAACTTACAAAACAAAAACTTTAAAATGTAAATAAATAAAAATAAAATAATTAAAAAATATATATTTTTTTTAATTAATAATTAATAAATGTAAATAAACTTGCTCAAAACGATTCTAATAACAGAACCTTAATCAAGAAAATTTTCTTTAATTCAGTTATAATGAATGATTATCTTTATTTACCATGCATTATTAATGCCAAAAAATACCCAGAAATCCGACCAAATAAAACCACATTCAAAGGATTTTACGCAAAAAAAAATGTAATAAAAGTTAAATAATTAAATTCTAACCTCACCGTACACCGCCATCGAGCCACACAGGCGAAAAAGCTATTATTTTTCAACTCCGCTTATCTCGATCGCCGCGCCACCCGTTATGCTCGTAACAGGTTAAAAAACAATATATCTAAAACAACTGCTTATTTTCTATACGTTATTCTCCAACCTGTTGCGGGCCCAACATCGACAATCGGCCGATGCAGCAGCGTTACTTTCCCACTCCCGTTATCTGGACCGCCACGCGTTATGCCCGCAACTGTTTAAAAAAAAGCTGCTTATTTTATATACTGTTATTTAGCTGTTACAAGCCAAACACGGCCATCGACCGATGCAGCAACTTTCGCCGTAGCGCATTCCCCACTCCTTTGTATCTCTACTGTCGGCGCGCCGCCCGTTATCGATGGTTGTCGAAATAACAGATTTTTCATCCTAGTTGTTTTTTGGAATTGCTTCGAGCAGCATGGGATTTCGTGGCAGAGCGCCGACTTCGTTTCACGACCAGTCGATATCTACGTCCTACGTGTCGTTATTTTATATCTGTTATTTTTTAAAAGTAGCAACAGTTGCGTTATGTTATTTCCAAATAACTGTTGTAAAATAACAGATAGTTAAATAACAACCCATCTCTAATAGGAACGTACTTAAAATTTTCTAAACAATATGAACTGATCTCGGACAGGCCCTAAAACTCATATTTGACAAATAATGGTGACCTAACGGTGAACGAGACGGCGACCATTCGTGCCTTGACATTTGGTACGGCTGATGTCGAGAATGGAGAGCTGGTCTCTGTGGAGCCGTCTCAGATACTGGCTTTTATTAGAGCCTTGAGACTGTATGATGAGTTATAACTCGTTATAACTCAAGAAAGGGGAACACACGATAGATCTGTAAGGTCGCGGTGATTAACTCCCCTCCTAAACATTCTACATTCTACAACGGTGAACGATGGCTAACAGTCTTTATATGCCAATTTAAATACACCCAAATTTTTTACATAAACAAAGTACCGCAAGGTGTTTGGTATTAAGTATCGATCGTCCTGAAAATTTTTACTCACCTGGATTGACTAATATTTCCAGTTGGTCGTAAAAGAAGTTGACCAGACAACGCCTGGCGATGATCTCTGCATGCATATCGTTCAAAGTAGACCCATTAAGGCATATGTGGCCGCCCGAGACACACTTGGTGCCTGTGGTGACGCAAATGATCTCGGCGTCGTCCAACGTCGGACCTCTGGTCATCACTATGCCGGCTAGCACCTTCCTACGCGAATGTTGGATGTCGCCAGCCATCACTTCCATGAACTTCTCGTTTACCATCCTAGAAAACGTTCAAAAACGGACATATCAGCATAGAGGTTCCGTCGTTACCATCGAGAAAAGAAGGTTCGTCAGCAGTGGCGTAGGCAAAAAGGCGTTGCCTACCCCAGGCAATTATTATAAATCTTTTTTCATGGTATACTTCTTTTAATCACCTAGTGCTTATTTTTTTATGAACATCTAAAATTATGTACCTTTAAAAAAATCGTTACAGCCTAAATAGCCCCAGTTTTGTTCCCTATAGGCAAAACCGGTGCGTAAAGCTATGTTCGCTACCATAGTTAAACTCATCTAAAAGCTTTATTAGCTTGAATAATAAATTATAATATAAGTTAGACCTGAAGATATCAAAATATTTACCTTTTTTTCGGAAATTATACTTCCTAATACTTTTAGAATGATTATATAACAATTTTTTCGTGCACTCGCTATTTAAACCCGTGTATTTGTTAAGTCGGCTGTTTACGGTATTCTCCTCATACAGGGTGGCCCATCGAAAACGTTCCGCAAGGCATAACGGTCAGGGTATTTTTTTTTTCAGAAAATTAAAAAACACGTCAATTTTGTTTGTGAGGGGGACAACTTTTGCCCCAAAAAGGTTTGCAGAATCTTCAACCCTCTAAGCGGGGTTGTCATCCCCCAATTTTTTTCAAATGGGAAGGGGAGTCAAGTGGTACGGCAATGAAAAAGGCTTTCTATTCTCTATACTTTCCCGCTTCGTTTTTGAAAATCGGTCGAGTCATTGAGAAAATATGAAGGATTGAAATTTGAAAAGTTTATTCAAACATTTATCAGAGTAAATGATAAGGATAAATTCCTTCGACCAATTTGCTGTTTTTTCTTATTATTTCTTGATGTTTACGCATTTTTTCACTTGCCAATAGGTTGAACGATCAGGTGCGGTAGTTGCTAGATAGTTGCTCTATGACTTGTGCGTTGAAGTTCTTCTCAATTACATTAAACTTTTTAATTATGGTGTACTCATTTGCAGAAAAAGTGGACATAATCTAACTTTATTTTAAAAATAATGAATGTGGCAATCGGGTTGCGCAGATATTCAATGAACGCCATCCTGACAAACGCCTTTATGGCTAAATTGTTCACGAGTTAGTAGCAAAATTTCGCGAAACTGGTTCCGTTATGAATAAAAAGAGGTAGAGGGAAAATCCTGTAGTCATAAGAAATCATGAGAAATTCTGTAGAAAACGAAGCTATGGAGGTATTCGTATTGGGCCAAGTTGCCATGGACAGTACGCTGAGTAAAAGAAAATTAGCCAATGAGACCGGCGTGAATCGTACAAGTGTCCAAAGGATATTAAGAAAATACAAGTTCCACCCGTACAAAATTCAGTTGGTACAAGAACTCAAAAATGACGATTTTGATCGCCGCTTGCAATTTTGTGAATCTATGAGTGAACGAGTGGCGAATGATAATAATTTCCTATTTAATGTGTGTTTTTCGGATGAATGTACTTTCTTTTTGAACGGTGTAGTTAATCGGCACAACTGTCGGTACTGGGCTGAGGACAATACCAGGGTTTTTCACGAGGTGCACACACAAAACCCTCAGAAATTGAACGTGTGGGTTGGTATTTTTGGAAATTCTATTGTGGGTCAGTTTAACGATATTGAGAAGAATTTCAACGCACAAGTCACAGAACAGCTATCTAGCAAATACCGCACCTGATCGTTCAACCTTGTGGCAAGTGAAAAAATGCGTAAACATCTAGAAATAATAAGAAAAAACCTCAAATTGGTCGAAATAATTTATCCTTATCATTTACTCTGATAAATGTTTAAATAAACTTTTCAAATTTCAATCCTTCATATTTTCTCAATGACTTTACCGATTTTCAAAAACGAGGCGGGGAACTATAGAGAATAGAAAGCTATTTTCATTGCGGCACCATTTGACCCCCCTTCCCATTTTAAAAAAGTTGGGGGATGACACCCCCGCTTAGAGGGTTGAAGATTTTACAATCATTTTTGGAGCAAAAGTTGTCCCCCTCACAAACAAAATTGACGTGTTTTTGGATTTTTTGAAAAAAAAAATACCCTGGCCGTTATGCCTTGCAGAACGTTTTTGATGGGCCACCCTGTATACTTATAACTAAATATGCTCAGTGTTCCCTATTTAATCCTGTGTGCTGTTTCCTTGCCATAAGAAAAACACAACATAACTCAGCTCCATATTAATGCTGCATAAGTCCATTTCACCCGGATATCGATTGAGCTGCGATTGCACCAAACTCCGATTGATTGTTGTTTTAGTTCTGTTTGAATTACTTTTTATTTGTGCGCGTAAAAGAGTGATTTTGTTTAGTTTATTGTTTCCAACTATTTTTTTATATTTTTCCAACTCCATGATAATGTGTTATAAACAATAAAAATATAAATAAAATTGAAGGTTAGGTGACATGTCAGTCAACCACTTCCCTTTAAAAACACCAACCAATGAAAAGCTCTTCAAGTAAGGCATGCACAGCTAAATAAAAATCCGGGTGAAATAGACTTATGCCAGAATTACATATTTCTCTTTCACTGTTTGGGCTTCACTTTTTAGAGATTAGGCTGAGTATATTTAGTTATATGTATATGATTCTTCTATGGTGGCATCGGAGAAAGCACCAAGTCTATTAGCAATCTAAAAATGACTTTACCTGCCAATGCCATCTGCCATCAATAATTTGTCCTTGGTTACTAAACCGTATTCCGAACTTTTGTTGTTCAGATAAACTGACGGTGTGTAGTTGATTAATTTAGCGAGAGCTAACTTGGCTGCGGCACTTTTCGCATTTTTCTTACTAGATCCTAAAATAATAAGAGCATAAAAAAACAGAAACAAACATTTAAAACTTGAACTACGAGGGTAGCCTGAAAATTTCCATATCTCATAAGTCAACATTCATGCAACAAAATCAAGTACATATGTGATTGCCATGGCGACAATTCAAGAGTTGCAGTTTCACCTGCTAGATCGTGCTCCATTTTCTCCAGATTTAGTTCCAAGCGACTTTTTATTTCCCAAGCTGAAAGTTGCGCTCGGACAAAAAAGATTTTTGTCGACTGAGGAGTCATAATCTTTGTAAACGTCATCGTTTGTAAAAAAAATCATAAATGTCATCGCAGGGAGAAGTTAGTGGCGTCAAAAAAAATGTTTTAAAAAACTATAATCGTGTGAGCAGAAACTTTTCAAACTACTCTCGTATTTACTGTTCTGGAATTATTTTTTTGATTAACAGCCATTTCTATACTAACCTGTGCCAATAAACTCTTCGCCTTTAATAGTAATAACAGCCCTGAATCTGTTTACCACATCCGTGTCATTGTTTGTGAAGCTATACGCCACGTTGGGGTAGAGCTCGTTGAGCAACATTACTGGGTTCTTATCTCTCGAACCTATAACTGGCACTCCGCTCTTCTTAATTTCAGCAACCTTAAAAAAATATTATTATTCGTAGGCCGAGAATCTAGGCTCTGACGGTCGCGGCACAGAGGCAAGTGTGTTTGCCTGCTGCGCACGCGTACCGTGTGTAGTATAAAACGCATTCGATCCCTTTAAATATCCTATTTAAGGGACCGAATGCAAAGCGCATGCGTATAACCGCTACAATAAAGCTGTGCCACAGATTAAGTTATTTCAATTGGGGATCCATTTTTTACAAAAGGCAACAATGCATACGAGAAAAAAACGAAGTCTGACAAATACCGGAGGATCGAACGTGTCTAACTGAGCAAACTAAACCAATAAAAGAATCAAATAACCTTGTCGCTGGTAAAATCTCCATCCTGCTTGGGCGCGCTGGTCTTCAATATAATGCCGTTAGTCGGAAACTGTATAAACGATTGCAACACCTGCTCCGCGGCTTTGGCCCTGGCGATCTTCTTGGACTGGCCGCTGCCGTGGTACGTCTGACCGTCGACTTCGACGCGCACGTTGAAGACGGGATGGTGCGGGGGACCGGACACGGCCTCCACTTCGTACTTGAGGCCGACGCGCAGCTCGTTCAAGATGGACACCGGATTTTTTTCGGTGATATCGATTTCGGTCCTCTTCTTCTTCGCCGGCTTCTCGGATGTCTTCTCGTCGCCTAGAATAAGAGAGAATATTGTGATTTGAGGAGATTGTACTTTTGATAATTGGTTATACCGGGTGCGTCTCAAAAGTGGCTCACCCCTATAACTTTTTTATTCTTCCATATAATAAAACGAGATTTGGTATGTTAGGATATGACACAAATTAGGATTGATTGACGTATTCAATTGTTTTTGGTCACTTCCTGTTTCACCGGAAATGACTGCAACTTTTGATTTTTTAAATGAGACCCTAGGTATATTTCTACTTTATTCGATAGAAAATGACATTCTGAATCAAATGGCATATCAACTTTTAATACTCTGAATCGAATGACATCTCAACTTTTGACATATTCGCTCAAAAACAAATTGCATTTTAAATTTCAATCCACAGTGCCATGGCTGTGTTAAAAACACGAATCTTTAATCAAGGAGCCTTGGAAAAATAGATTTGATTGTCTAATGTTTTTACTGTCTTGTCCTGACCGGTTAAAAGATGTCCAAATACAAGGGTATTTTTAATCATATCTCAATTTTCTCAAATGGAACGAGGGTGGTTCATTAACATATTTGGAAAAAGCATTTTTTTACAAATAATTTGATACCACGCACTTGGTATTTCGAGTCAAATTTTCGTTATGAACCGCATGTTATAATTTCAAATAAACCATATGCGAAAATGTCAAAAGTTGACACATGATATGTTTCAAAAGTTGACACATTCTATTCAGAGTGTCATTTTCTATCGAATAAAGTAAAAAAATACACCCCTCACCATTTAAAAATCAAAAGTTGTAGTCATTTCCGGTGAAACCGGAAGTGACCAAAAACAATTGTATATGTCAATCAATCCTAATTTATGTCATATACTAATGTAATAAATCTCGTTGTTTTATCTGAAAAAATAAAAAAGTTAAAGGGTGAGCCACTTTTGAGACGCACCCGGTATTATGCATCCCACCTAGATTCCGTAGTGTTCAAAAACCGGTGTTGGGCGGACTCCGGTTACCAAATATGGGCTATAAGGTGTACCAATGTTATAATTAGGGATGTACCGGAACGGAATTTGCCCGGATTACCGGATATCCGGTCAATAGTGGGGATATAGGAGGTCTCCAAGAATACTGGCCCCACACATCAAATTTATTCGAGCTTTGATTTGAGATAACACCGTCAGCGGAAAAATAATGTGCCAAAAGATAATTTGAGTTTATGGCATTGTTGTTATAATTGGAAGACTTTGAAAGACATTTGTAATGAAGTTCATAAAATTTCTGGGCCACCCTGTATATTATATTAATATTATACTAGAATAATAGAGACTTGATTCTCTTGTAATAATGACAGGCAGTGTATTTTATTGTTAACTCATTATTGTAATGAACTTCATTAGTGTTTCTATTATTGAATTAAATAAGTTAAATATTTAATTGCCATTTTGTAAGAGAGTTTTGATCGGTTTTGGTCGCCGTGGTTCGGTGCGAGAAACCGAGACGTTTGCGCCGCTCTCCCTACCAGTGCAGGTTGAGTGGAGGGGAGCGTAGTCGAGTACCGCGGCAGTACTGGCACTACAGAGTGAGTTGTGTGGTCGCACGTGAACAGTGAAGTTCGAATCCGGAGTGCCCTGCCAAGTGTCCTGCTGCCAGCCGCCTGCCGCCTGCCGCCGTATTGTATAAGACGACTAACCGAGACGCCGTTTCGTTCTACTGCGAACGATCCAGGGCTCGCGTGCGTACCTATCCCGCAGGACTCCGTTTCGTTCTACTGCGAACGATCCAGGGCTCGCGTGCGTGGCTATCCCACAGGACGCCGTTTCGTTCTACTGCGAACGATCCAGGGCTCGCGTGCGTATCTATCCCACAGGACGCCGTTTCGTTCTACTACGAACGATCCAGGGCTCGCGTGCGTACCTATCCCACAGGACTCCGTTTCGTTCTACTGCGAACGATCCAGGGCTCGCGTGCGTATCTATCCCACAGGACTCCGTTTCGTTCTGCTGCGAACGATTCAGGGCTCGAGTGCGTATCTATCCCACAGGACGCCGTCTCGTTCTACTGCGAACGATTCAGGGCTCGGGTGCGTAATTATCCCACAGGACGCCGTTTCGTTCTACTGCGAACGATCCAGGGCTCGCGTTTGTTTATCCCGGGACGTCTGTAACGACGTCGCCGACGTTTAGAAAGTCGGTTTATAAAAGAGTATATCGCTCCGGTACGTACATGTCTGTGTTTACTAGGACGCCGTTAAGTTAGACGCCGGTTAGAAACTCGCGTCGTTTTATTTACTAGAAAGTCATGTCAAAAACGCGCTTTGAATTCGCGTGATTAAATCGGACAGTGAGTTGCATATCGAGATTATACGGTCAAAACTCTAGAGGTGCTCGATTGTTGTTGTAAATTTTTATTTTACGAGTCTTTAATTATAAATTTTCTTTCACTTTCATTACAATTTAAAGTCGTGAAACTTCCTGGGGTATTTAGCATATAGTTAATTAATTAAATAAAGCCTTAATGTTATGTTATAGTTAACTGTGTGTTTTATTTCTTTTCATTTCATCACTCCCTGGTATCTCCACTGTATAAAAGCTACCCGTATTGGCGAAACGTGGACCTCTTCCACTATAAATAACAGAGGTGGCGCCCGAGAGATTTAAATTTACTACTGTACGCCAGTAAGGCTATTTATTTTTCACTGAACCAAAGAAAAGTAAATTGAGACTTTTACAAAAATGACGCCCGAGCATAGGGACTTGATTGTTTTGAAAATTAAACCGTCAAAAATACCAGGAAAACCGGGTAAAGCTAGTAAAAGCAGGAAAGCTATTGAAACAGTGTGAGGGGAGGTGAAAAGAAAATAACAACAGTCGAGCATAAGTACCTCTAGAGACAGTAAAGTCTCAGTGCTTCTGAGTTTAAGACTAGTGAAATCTAGAGCGATATGGAAACTGAGGAAGATTTTTTGTCGATCGGTGCTTCCGTCGAAGGTAACGACGCCGTACCGTCGCTGTCACATACAGGTTTGAACCTGGCGCCGTCTGGCACGAGTGCTGAATCTGATTTCAGGACAGGGTGGATTTATTCCCTGAAGAAGTCTGAACTAGCTGCACAACTGTTGCGTTTTGGATTGGATAGTACCGGGACCGTTGAGGAAATGCGAAGAAGAATAGTGAGATTCATTAGAGAAGGACAGGCGGGTCCTCAGCCTGTCACACAGCCTTTTGGATTTCCTGGAAATAGTGCTGTGGTACCGACAGTGAGCTCTACAGCCACCCTGACTACTACAACAGTGACAGCAACCTCGAGTGGACATATTGCTGGACGAGTGGTGTCTTCTCCGGTGGTCTATACTTCTACTTCGCAGCCTGCCCCTCTGCCGATAAATCCAGGTATGTCCAATAGTTTTAACACTGATCCAATACAAGTTTACAAATGGGGAGTGACATTTAATGGTCGCTCGGACCCTGTAACGTTCTTAGAAAGACTGGAAGAGATTTGTATTGCACAGAATATACATCCGGATCACTTATTGCCACATTTGCCAGAAGTTTTGCAAGGAGAAGCTGCGCTGTGGTACCGTAATAACCGAGTAAATTACAGGACCTGGGAAGAATTTACTAAAGAATTTAAAATTTTTTATTATCCAGTAAATTATGAGGTGGACCTGGAGGTGAAGATAAGTCGCCGAGTGCAAAGACATAATGAGTCTGTCACGGCGTACATCACTGATCTGCAAACGCTGATCCGCAGACATGGCAGCATCTCTCCGAATCAAGAACTACAGTGGTTGTACAGAAATTTGCTACCTGAATTTCGTCAGTATGTCCGGAGAGGAGACTTTCATGATATTTCGTCTTTCTCTCGAATAACCAAGGAATTTGAACTGCTTAATCAGGAACTGCGGCGATCGTCCCGTACTTTTACATCGTCCGATGTCGAACCCCGACCGAATAGTACGCCTCGGCGAGTCGTGCCGGAAAATGAGCATGCTGGAGCCAGGAGCAACCTGATGGTTATCCAGAGCCAATCGCCGTCTCAGAGTAAACAGAGACATGTGTCTGTTACTCCCCGTGTTGTAAGATATCCGCATAGAGCGCCGAACTCTGCAAAACAGACTTCAGAAGCAATCTGTTGGAGATGTGGACAGACAGGACACTTCCGCAGACAGTGCACATCCGAGTCCAAAATCTTTTGTTCCCGACGCAAAAAGACAGGTGTTCTTTCGAGGAATTGTCCATGTGTGAGCCCAGGAAATCTGGAATCGAACCGCACAGAAATATTCCATGAACAACAATATTCACCAACCGAGATCGTTGAAGAACCAGCACAAATCATACGTCAAGAAATTCGTCCTGTTGTGAAGATTCGCTACCGGAACACCGACTATTTGGCACTCCTGGATACTGGAGCTGCCCATTCCTATATTGGAAAGAAATTGACAGAACAGTGCCAAACTTCCAAGGCAATTCCTGTCAAACCCACGGTAAAAGGAGCGAGACTTGCTAATGGTGCCACGGAATCCATTAGCACAGCATTTAGGATGAAAATCCAAGTAGGAGAGCAGTCTCTGAATGAGGTTTTCCACAGTCTAAAAGACTTAGTTTCGGATATGATTATTGGTATGGATATTCTGGGCAAACATGACTTCCAGATTGATTTACGAACCCGACAGATCCGATTGAATGCTAAGTTGGTGAGTACAGAATCGGTGGTTTCGACTTGTAATGTCATGTCAAATTTAAAGATCCGAAGCTCCGCCGAAAGTTTACAAGTAAACCCGAAGAAAAGTGTTGAACAAACAACCGAGAAGTTGAGGAAAGGCCAATGTCAAGCCTCCGTTTCTAAAGGCAGTCGCCTTCCGATAAAAACGAGTCTACAGAGTCCTGTAGAAGAGTTCCGCAGACGTCAAACTAACAAGTTTTCTGACTCCAAAGATGTATTGCTTAAAAACTCTGATCGAGTTCCAGTGGAGAAGAATGTTTGTTGGCGATGTAGAAACCCCGGACACCTACGTGGTGTATGTCAAAGAAGATTTCTTTTGTTCTGTTCCAGATGTGGAACGCTCGGCGTGCGATCACAGGATTGCAAATGTAGATGTATACCATCCCGTTCAAATCACTCCGAATCCTGGGCTGATGGATGTTGGTTAAGAGGAGGATCAACAGTCATCTAAACAGTATCTAAAAAAAAAAAAAAAAAAAAAAAATAAAACCCTTCCCGGCTGATGAAGTTGTAGAACTGATTTTACTTTGAATTTTTCAGACTAGAACGACTCATGACTCATGAGTCACTGCCAGGAACTATCTGCAGGCCACACTGACGCTAACCAACTCCCCCACATTCCCATGTGTCTGGAAGCCAGTCTAGGCGGAGACAGCAACAACTTGCCAGGGAAGAAGTGGAGAGGTGACACGCAGAAAAGCCCGATGTCCTGGCCCGTCTGAAAACCAACGCCGGACGTCCAGCAACAGGAGTCTGTCGTCACAATGTCCTCAGTCTACAAGTCATCAGATTCTAAGTTTTCATTTCTTGTTTACTTTCTCTAAGGGGTTTTTTTTTGCTTTTCTTTAAAAAAAAAAAGAAGAAGGGATTAAAATTAAAAAGGGAAACAGAAAGAGGGTTGAGAAGCTTTACTTCACACACAATGGGGGACACTTTAATTCACACACAAAAAACCTGGTTGAACTTTTCCTAACATTGGTAATATTTCTAGACAATATTTCTCAAGTCCAGCCAGTAGTATCTATTTGGAACGATTGTTTTCTGAAATTTTTATTCTGAGTTACCTACTCTTTATTCATCATAATTTAGTAAAAATAAATTTTGATTATTAGATAAAGTATTATACGTTTAAGAGTTTAGATAAAGTATTATACGTTAAAGTATTAACAAATAAAGTTATTCAATTTGATTCTTACAAATAGATTTTGAATCCAATCATTTGTTTTTTTAATGTCTTAGATTTCTGACCACAACCCACAAGCTCTGTTAAATACATTTTTTTAATTTTTAGCGCAAATTTAATTGAATTTGCTGATCCGGCAGGATCAGTAATTCCTGTATTTAGGCCGGATCGGCCGGATTTAGTGGTACCGCCGGATATCCGTTCCATCCCTAGTTATAATCACAACCGGTGTTGATCTCGATACCGGTTTTGACTACGACACTGATTTTTATCGGATATCTACCTAATCTAAAAGCGGTGTCGAGATTAAAACCCGATTTTAAATCGGTAGTGACACCGCTGTCGGTTTTAAGTATTTAACGTAGTGAAATTTAGTTTACTACAAAATCGAAAAAAAAGGCGTTTTAATTGTTTTGGAAATGACGATAATTTCCAAACAATCTGTTATTTTATACGTAAAATTATTAGGTAAATGCCATCGATTGTCATACGGTATATCTATCTACATCATCAAAGCCTCATTATCTACAGTATCAAAGCAGAACCTACTGTCAGCTTGACCGTTTTCATGCACTAGTAATACCAACACATTCACAAAACACTTATCCAGTCTAAAATAAAAAGTTTTAACCTCAAAAATATCTCTGAGTTTCTACATATCTCATCTATAGATCTAAATCCAGCTCTAACCCTATAAGTATATAGATGAACTATAAAAAAAACAACCAAAAAATAATAACCATATTAAACTAATTACAAACAATAGAAATGTAATAGAGTGGGCGCATTTTAAGGAGTCAGGAGCGTCATCAGTAACGTGACTGCATAGCGACCACCCCTTGCTTGCGATTCGACGGTTCTGTGATCAGGTGACCTTAGATATTTTTATTCTAACGCTATAAAATAATATTTCGCGCGCCACTGTCTAACGCCGTTGCGGCGTTCACCGACAAAGTATTGTTGACGCTCATGGCTCCTTAATATGCGCCCTCTCTATAATATATTAATGGTTCCTAAGCATTAAATTTATTTACTATAAATTTATATGAATAGTAATTTTGTTAAAAATAAATCCATACGAAAATGAGCTTATGTTAATTACAAAAACTACTATTTTATAAACTAATACTATAATAATCACAAAAGGCTACTACTTTATCAACTAACCAAAATACTTATAAAATAGGATTAGCCTTAACAGTATAGAAGTGTTAATCTATATTATATAGAATATACATAAATAAATGATCTTATCACAAAGGCAATTATTGTATCATATACTAATCAATATAAAATAAAACAAAATAGATTAACGAATATCTAATAGAAATGGGATTCCCCTAACAAAAGTAAGTCATGGAATATTAGCCACAGAATGACAATAAGCCCTCCTAACACACTATCCAGTTCACTCTTTTTGTATACATAAATCAGTAGGTAAATGTCAGTTAATTAACTCTAACACTACTTTCTGTAGAGTTAAAACAGCTAAACTTCTGTTTTAAGTGGTTAAAAATGCATTTAACAACATTTTTTGTTGTTTCGATATTTAAAGCGATATTATCTCTAAAAATATCTATGTTTTCACACAAAATACACCATAAATCAACTATAGTCTGTCCAATTAGAGAATATATATGACAATGAGAGTTAATCTGTCATTTTACTTCAAAAAAAGTTGTTTTTTTTTCTGCCAATATTTGAATGTCTTCTATCGAAATGTACTTTTAAATCATTACCTTTGGCTCGACTTGTTAGAGGTACCGGAATAATATTATACATGGGCCATGATTTGGTTTGCTCAAGAATGTTCCCAGCTTCTTTGATGATGTTGTACGGATTCACTGACAACACTGTGTAGCAACAGGCATTGCAAAACCAAAATAGGTTATTACACTTGTTAACCTCTTTCTCCACATATTTCTTAATTTTTACACAAGTCAAGTGAAATACATTGTCACACAGATCGCATGTTATACGCCTACTCCTAACTATAAAGTTGTCAAAGCAGACTCTGCACGTCAATTTGCTATCCATATTGATGCACTACTGGGGAATTATAGTTGATAATAATTATATATCCGAAACTAATAAAGGTACAATAATATCTTACACTATAGATTGTGATTAGATTTTATAATACTAAGTAATGAATATACCCTTTGTGACGGGCTCATTTCTATAAACTTCTGAATATCAGAATATCACAGCAGAAAAAAACTTATGATTCAAAATATCGGATAATAGAGAAATTATTATTAATATGTAACTATGGAGGGGTTGATGAACAAGTCAATTGCCTAAATTTTTACGCGTGTACATTTTCAACCACTTAACACGCAAATTTAATACCTCGAAAAAACTTAAATCTTTAAATTTATCACTTTAAATACCAAATTTGACAGATACCCTAGAGTAACAAGTCCAATTTTCAAGCCTGTAACAGTTATTTTTTTTTAACTTTATGGAGAGAAAATACGAAACTCTGGCGGGAGCTGCTCTTAGGCTGTGATATCACTAAATATGATAGCCTAATGTTGAGGTCGGAACAGTCAAACAAAATCAATCGTTTTTGAAAATATCAACACCCTGTATTTACAAAACAAACAATTTTTGATCCTACGTAGGCATCATTTTCTACTTATAAATATGCTATTAAAATCATGTTACTAAAAGGTATACAAAGGTGTAAAATTACAAAAGTATACTAATAATCAATACCCTGGCGGCCTAAATATTTGTCTGCCAATCTATTACTATGCTAATAGCCTATCAATATACGAGCCCTAACAACTATACGTTGGGACAAGGTCTTTTTTTGCAATAAAAGTAGTAATTTGTTAAAACGACTCAATTTATATTTTGTTTATTATTATAAATTCAAACATTACAATATGATCTAGACAATTTTACTATATTTTTATAACTTTGCAAACAAATCACTTTTGATAATAGCTTATTTTGCCAAAATCAAGCCAAATTTGCTGACAACTATATATTGGGACAGCACAACAAGAAATTTGTTAATACGGAGTTACATCACCTTTCGCCTTAACAACTGCCTGAACTCTTAATGGCATTGTATTTACCAAAGATTGGCACATTTGAGGAGAAAAATTATCCCAAATTTCCTGCAGTTTTGTCCGCATCAAAAATTGTTCGTTGTGGGTGGTTTCTTAAATATTGGTTCATTTTATGCCACACAGTTTCTATAACATTGAGGTCCGTACTACTTGCAGGATAGGATAGAACTTTTATATTATTATTACCGAACCAATTTTTAGTTGATTTTGCGGAATGGCACGATGCTCCATCTTGTTGAAAAATATAGTCTTCGTTTGGAAACAATTCTTGAGCACTAGGCAAAAGTGAGGTCTCAAGTATATGTTGATATTTTTGGGCGTTAACTGTGCCATCCATAAAATTTAATTTAAACTTATTATTAACATGCAACCCCAAACCATAATCCCCTTAGGAAATTTAACAACCCTCTTTAAGCAATCTTTATGAAAGGCTTCTGCTTTATTTCGTATTATTCTTTTTCGATGATCTCCAACGCAAACATCAAATTTAGACTCATCGCTAAATATGACCTTATTCCAATCATTTTGTGTCCATGATAATTTAGATTTTGCCCAATTGTAGCGATTTTTCTTTTGAATTTCTGTCAGTAGCGGTTTTTCTTTGACCTAAATAGGAATTTGTATCAATAATCTTCAGGTGATTGATTATCCACACAAAATAAAGTTTACCTTGTAAAACCCCAGACCGCATTTATGGATATATTTTCGGCAACATTCTCTTGATATATTTAATCCAGTTACAGTATTCCATTTAACTGTTACTTCCCGAAGAGTACTTCTTCTCGCAGACTTGCAAATTTTTACTAAATTTCGTAAATCTCTCTGAGATACAACTTTTGGCCTTCCCGAACTTTTACCTCTAACGCCTACACTGGCAGATTCGCCGTATTTTTTTATTATATTAAAGACCGTGGTTTTTGAAATTGTTTTTCCCGTACTGTATTGACGAATGATAATTTCGCGTAGTTTTTGATTTGTAGCTTTTCCACGGACCATTACTTTGGATTAAATTAACAAAATTGAAAATTAAAAAAAATAAAATTACTTACAGTAAGTCTCACTACTCAAAGTATCGAGTCACTTACAAGCTCAAGTAAACATTTGTGACGTTTATAGCAAAGCCGCCTATGATATTAATTATTTAAAAATACTTGTCCCAACATTTAGTTGTCAGGCAAATTTGTCCTTTTATGAACAAAATTCGCTACTTTAAATATGGATTGATTTACAAATTCATAAAAATATTGTCAAGTTGTTTAGGATATATGGCTATGTTTATATTTAAAAAATTAAACATATATTTTTCAGTCATTTTCAAAAACCAGGACAATAATTCCAAAATATGACAATGTCCCAACATATAGTTGTTAGGGCTCGTATTACTAAGAGCCTCCGTACACGGGTCGACTGTCTGTCGCAGTGGAAACGTCTCGAAGTCGAAGCAGAATGTACCAAACCAAACCAAACCAAATCACATGCCAACTATGCGATGCGATCGAACGTTTAACCATATATGGGTGGATTTTTACTTCTTTTGTCGCTTGTCTCGCGAAGTATTCAGTTCATTTTATACAGGGTGCCAAAAAATAGTGTAATCACCCACCAAAGTTAGATACACTATATATATTTTTTGACAACCTATACAGTATTTTTTTGTTTTGGATACCTTAACAACAACAAAACTATTTAATTATTATTTAAAATAATTTCAAGTTCGATTCCGTTTTTTTAATTTATTTAATCTGATTAGATTCATCGCAAAAATATTGATCAGCGCTAATTAAATATATAATAATAAATAATTAATTGAATAAGGAAAATCGAGCCAGTTGGAACATTCAAATAAATAATATCCAGGTCAGCAATTTAAAGATATTATTTTAACTCTTTTTATTGTGAATTTGAAATTTCAGTGTGCGACCTAATAATATGCGTAATATTAATCGTAGTTATTATAAATAAATCAACTTCTACAAACTAGTTTCTAATACTCTACATATTCGAAAGGGTTACCACCCTCCCTATTGCACCAATTTATTTATAACTCTTTGAACTTTCTTCTTCTACTTCCAAATGCATTTTGTACTGTTTATTGTAAATGTTGAGATGTATTGATTTCACTTTTACAAGTGACGTCGAGTAATGTTCCCCTCCCCGCCCCTTGGCGACAGGTCCAGGAACCTCACTGACCATTTCCAATCCATCTTCCGAGGAAATGATTTGATTGTATGATGAATAGATTAAATATTTTAAAAAACAGAGAAAACTTGAAATTAGTTTAAATAGATTGTGTTCAATTTATCGAAACAAAAAAAATTAAATGTAGCATATCATTTTACTCAAAAGACCGCGTTCTTTCAAAACCTGAAATGAAAAATGCAGGTCCGTATTTAAAAAAAAATTAAGTTGGCCTTTGTATCTCACAAATTATCAGCTAAATCTAAAAATACTATCCGATACCCCCAAAGGATACCCCTAATAAAGTGACTATGAGAATGTGCAATTAGTTTTTTATTTTTTAAAAAATCACAACAAAAAAAAATTATTGATTTTCAAAAAAATCGTTTTTTTCCAAAAAAAAAGCTCGACAATCCTTGAAATTTTTAAAACTTTTTTGATGGCATCTTGGTGAGCATCCTGAAGTGCAACTTAGCCCCAATTTAACCATGTTCGTATCTATTACGGTTACCGAGCTACCAATGCTCGTACCCCGAATTTGTAGCACCCTGTACAGGGTCTTATCTTTTTTTTTATTAGTAGTCCAAGTAATGAAGAGGACGTTGTCTTTTTATGTACATATATATCGATAGATGTGGACCTCCTATTATTTTCCTATGAAGCAGAGTGGAGGGAGATTCGCTCCGAGTTCAAGACGCTTCCGCTTCGAGGGCCAGCCAATCCGTGTACAGACGCTCTAAGCCACTTATAATAAATCAACAAAAAAAAGATCTCCAGTTTAATGAGCAATATTAGTATTAGGAACAACCCAACAAAACAAAGACAACAAAAAAAAGCCCCGTTCTACTCCCAGACTTCTTCATAGCCTTCTCTCCGTCCTTCATTTACCTCTACCATCAATCGTCCGACTCTCCTCCACGTCCAGAATCTTCCGCACCTGCTTCGAGACAGCCTCGCTCTTTACCACGCTCAAATCGCCGACCTTCCTAGACCTCTCGAACATGTAGAGCAGCGCCCCCAGGGCAGCCCTGGACTTGGCGATACGCTTTGAGGGCCCCGAACCCTTGAATTCCTCCTCGTGGTCCTTGATCTTGAGCAAGGTGATGAAGGTGGGGCTGTGGTCAGGGCCCTGCGCCTCCAGTAGTTCGTAGCGTAGGCTAGAGGGCGCGGTAAACAGCTCGTTAAGGATTGAAATGGGGTTGCGCCCGTTGACGATCTCAGATACCTCTTTGTGCTGGTCTAGAAGCGTGCAAGGAGCGGGACTATCACAGTCTAGAAGTGAATTTGTGCCTAATAATGTTTTAACATCATCCTGTATAAATTTTAAAAACTCCCCTATATAAGAGATTATCACTCCATATGTAGTTGAAAAAAAACACTTTCTTTTTAAAAACATAGCAAATTACTTTTATTCTTTGTATAATAAGAATTGATATTTTTAAATGTATTTTTTTTAAATTCTTCAAATTTTATCTGTATCCACAGATGAATAGTTTAGCTTTGTTCGGGTTCTTGTTATTACCGATTCTGAACCGTCCTAGAACTCTGCAGCGCATGCGCAAATGAAATAATGTCTTCATATTTCCTTCTGCACATACGCATCACAGTTCTAGGACGGTTCAGAATCGGTTATAAGAGAAACCTGAAGTAAGCTTTTGTCTAAAGTGGAGGATATATGACAAAATAACAGTTGTGCTCTACAGAGCTGTACTAGACTGTACAGTCTATTGAAATCTTCCCTGACTCCTTGGCCAGACTTTACTTACTCTAAATATAAATTTATACAGAAAAAAATATAAAGTAAAATGTACCTATTTGCATGACCAAGATGCATAAATTAATCCTAAAAGCATAATAATAAATCACTACCACATTCTTAAAATCCAGATGAAAAAGCAAGACAATGCAAAAAATGCATAAAATAATTTTTTATTCATTACAATTTAAAGCCTAGTGATAAGTATCATTCTATCTCTTTTTATGTATAAAATAATTAATTGTTAAATAAACCACAAAAAGTGCCTATACGAAAAAACTACGTATAAACAAAGCTAGTAAAGATAATATTTATGTAGATACTTATTAACAAAGCCAAAACAATATTACACATAAATGGGTAAAATGGCGATTCATATAAATATTACAGTATTTAAAATATACTTTTTCTTACCTTCATGTGGTCTTTTCGCGCTATTGTTAGTTTTTCCTTCTACATCTTTTACATCCATAGTTTCTTTGGATTCAGACATTTCAACAGTTTCGTTATTTTCTAAAATTGTTTCCGATTCTTTAGCCATGTTTGCGATTGTTAAAGTCACGCCGTTCAATTCAAGCTGCAAACAAGTAAAAACTATTTAATATACTACTGTAAATAAAGAGTTTCATACAAAAAAATACTTTACAAGCATAAAAACATCCAGGAACAAATTAAAGCCAACAAAACACCATCAAAACACGTATAAAATGGCAAAATTGGCAAACACAAACGACAAACTGAAATGACAAATGACAGTTAACATGTGGTAAATTCTGGAGTTTTTATTATTTCTGGCAGCCTGCTTGAAAACCCTTGTGAAATTTTAGGGCTTTTCGGAAACTGTGATCTGATTGATCGGATTGATAGGATTACTAATCCAGACGTTCGAAAAGTGATCTCAAAACGAGTCAATGCGTTCGGAAAGTGATCCGAATAACTCGATTTTTGCCATATGTTGTGATCCTACTAACCCTCCTAATGAGGTGGGTAGAATTAATCAGCTGATCATTTCTAGGATAATTTTAAACGTAACGGTCCGCATAGAAGTATAAAGTTTTTTAATAACCGTTTTGTCCGAAATCACTTTATCTAATGTTGATCAAATACATGATATTTTGTTAGTGACCGTAAAAATGAGCCAATCAGCATAGCATCAAGTAACTCTAGATTTTAAATAAATAAAAAACCAACAAGTAATTCTAAAGATACTGACTGCGAAAAAGCACTATCGGAGACACCCAATAGGAAAAAAATGAAAACTCAACTACAGAAAAGTGGTTTAAAACATTTAGATTAAAATAGCCAGGCATAATGAAAGAATGGAACTTGATAGACAATTCTGAAAATTTTCATCACAATTGGTAGATAAAAATTGATATATTTTTTTATTATTAATATGATGGAATGTTTATTATGTTGGCAGTAAATAAATGATTAAAATAAAGTTTATAGTGTTTTTGTTTTAAATGGCATAATTTTAAAAAAGCCTAAAATAAAACACATTTTGTTTTTATAAAAAATAGTCTTACAGAAACTAAAAAGTATACTTAAAGCAAAACAAATAGGATAAAAATAGATCTTATACAATCGTTAAAGAGGGATATTAGGATTATTTGTTTAATTTATCTCTTTTTACGAAATATATTTAAATGTGATTGTTAACCCGGTAAATCTAATGATCCAACCGTTCGTAATTAAACTACCAGCTGATTACTCTCAGCACTGATCTTGGAACAGCTGATTAGTAAACTACCTAATCTAGGATTTTATTTCCGAAAACCCCTTTTAACAATCAGATTTGTATATATTTAATACTTAAAATACTGGAGTAGTGTGTTATTAGTAAGTTGATGGGTAAATAAAGGGTAATGGTGTGGATCCGGTGGCTGACCTTGAAACGAGTTTTTGCTGCATATAGTCACAGATACTACGCATGCGCAAATCGTCGATGTTGCCGGAGTGCAAGTTATTTTGGATTATTTTCAGTAGAAAACAAATAATTTTAATTTTCCTTCATATGTGTTTTTCAGTGTTTTTTGTCAATATATACCGTATGATCGAAAAACGGCGTCCAGTTGGCTGGGAAATGACGATTGAGGACATTTCCCATATAAATTTACATAAAAAATGACAGCGATCTTCATTTCATAGTCATCGCTGACGCTATTTTTTTCGATCATAGTACGGTATATTATTTATATTATTTTAATATTTCGCACAACCCGTGAACGCTTATTATGTATTTTCATAATCAATAAAATTAAATAGAAATAAAACTCTAGATTCCTATAATTAATCTAATTGCTCTAGATTATTATGCAACGTTTAAAAAGGGCTTTATTAAAATTCGGGAAATTAAAAGGAAGTGCCCAAGTTTTTTTTTTTTTTTAATTTTTAAATGCTATAGCTCCATGTCATGTTCATAATAGTTTTTGTTAACATTCCATCAAAACTACGGAGGCCTTAAAATGCCTTTTAGCCTCCGTAATTAAAATTGTAGAATCAGCTTCAGCAACATTAACAGTTACCTTGTTTAATTCTGCTTATACATATATTGCGTTAATTTTTCTGCTACCTTAAGATTTCTCTATTCTTACACCTAATTTAGAATAGCATATATGATTTATAAACCATATTTTTCCTAATGGAAGGATGGAATAGGATATGCAAAATTAAGATATTTTAACATTTATTTTATAATATAGTATTAAGATTAAGACATAACAAATATTATAAGAAAGATCTTAATATAAATCCCAAACTAACTAAGTCTTAATTTGGTCTTGTATAAACACAGGTATAAAACTAATAAGAACAAAACTCAACCTTCACCATATGGTCAAGATTTGGCATTATAGGAAATATAGGAAACAAGAAATTACAGTAAATTAAGAAAAGAATATCAAAGTACACGATATTAAATACTGTAATGTATTCTACGACACAAACCATCTCCCTTCTAAAGAGAAAAAGATAAAACATAAAGCTTATTTTAGTCTTATCACCACACTCTTCGATAAAATATAAGTCTAAAATTGCTATTAATCCATTAACTTGATATTTTTAAGAAATTATCATGGAAATTATGATACAAACATTACAATCAAAGTATATTATATTAGTAACATTATAGGTAAAATGTTACCTCTATCTCCCATTGACGTGTATTGTTCTATAAGATTCGTCATGGTAGTACTTTAATACATCAATACATATAATCAAAACTATTGTTGCCTGTAAATAACTAGAAATTAAATAACTTGAAATAAAATAATTCTAATAAGTTTAAAACCATTAAGAAAAAATCCGTAAATGATAATTTTTAATTCTAATATAAATGTATAAATAAATGTTATTATTATTACAATTTTATATATCATTCCTCAATTTTGGATATCAAGATAAATCTGAAATTATAAAATTAATTATAGAATTTGTATTATTATTGATTAACACTCAAAAAAAAATTATCAACTGCAAATAATTCGAAAATAAACTGCAATTTGGCAACATCGACGATGTGCGCTTGCGTAGTATCGATGATCAAATGCAGCAAATATGGGCTTCAAGGTCAGCCACCGGATCCACACCTTTACCAAATAAAGTTTATTGAGAAATAGAGGTGTTTATCTTAGTATTTATTTAAAAAAAACCTATTATCGATTATTTTATTAGTTTGTTGGCAACACTTGCTAACAATTAAAATACCGTTTGTATTATAGGCAACCAGTCGTAGTATATTCTGTATTCTGTGGTCTTAAATTAAACATTTTTTTTGAAAAACTCCATAACGTTCATATTAAGATTAAGATATTTAGTAGATTTTCCTGGAAAATACCTAATCTCCTTTATAGCGGCTCAAATACTCTTTATCGCAAAATCGTTTCTGAGCATGTCTATTTAATACCGAATCTCTATCGAAATGGGCTATGAGTCATGCGCGTTTAGTTTCAATTGTTGTTCAGCCATGTTCGTTGTGTACTGTTAAGTGTAAAGTATTGCTGGTTAATCGGGAATACAATTAATTCCGGCCTAAAAATGGCAGGAAACACGGGAATGGAACAGCTCATCCCCATAGTGAACAAGCTGCAAGATGCGTTCACACAGCTCGGTGTTCATATGACTTTGGATTTGCCACAAATTGCTGTGGTGGGCGGACAGTCTGCAGGAAAAAGTTCAGTTTTGGAGAATTTCGTCGGAAAGTAAGCTATTTTTCCGTTTATAATCGAAAAGAAATAGTAAACTAATTTTGTCTCATGCCCTATGCCCTTTAAAACTGGCAGTTATATCTAGGGGAGTTTGACCTGATTTTTATAGATCTAGATTATTGAATGAATTAGTATTGACACAAAGATTTTTAAAGGGGCGACTCGAAGTTTTCCTACATACAAGATTTTAAATCGTTATTAGAGAATCTACTAATGCTTCTTTTTATAATTATTTATTTATGTCCGACTATCATAATATGTGAATTATATTGATCTTCATTATTATCACAGTATACCTATACTTTTCTGTGTCTTAATATTCTCTGAATTTAATATATTTAATAAACAATAAGGAGTTCTTTATTAAGTAATAAGATATAAGGTCTGTTCCCAGAAGAATCCCTGACTAGTCAGCGCGTTTCTTATTGGTTGAAATGCGTAGAAACCTGACTAACAATCAGGTTTCTACGCATTTTAACCAATGAGAAACGTGCTGACTAGTCAGGGATTCTTCTGGGAACAGACCTATAATAAACAAATTCCCTTTAAATGTCATCCAAAAAGTCGATATACAGAGTGGTTTGCTTTTTAGTAGTAGCAAGGCTTAATAGTATAGCAAAACTTAGTTTAAAAAGAAAGTTTCATATTACTATTGAATCAAAAATGGTTAGTTTATTAAATTATGTTCCTTATTAAAGAATAAGATATAATAAATAAATTCTGTTTTAATAACACCCCAAAAAAGTTGATATTAATTTACTTTTTAATAGAACGACTTTGTGAAGCATGAATAGAAGTTCTTATTTTAAGAAAAAAATATTATATTAATATTGGTTCAGATCAATAATTAGTTTATTAGGTTATTATAGTCGTGCAACTGAAAAGTGGGCCACTCTGTATAATAATTGATTAAAACTTTCTGTTATACTATTTCTGTATAAGAGCATAAGACTCACAATGTGATAAGTCTATTTTTCATATTATTTGTGCTTAGTATATCCTCTTTGAAGAAGGTCATCCGTTTATTCACTTTGTGTTATCTTTTACAGAGACTTCCTTCCTAGAGGTTCGGGCATTGTAACTAGACGTCCTTTGATATTGCAGCTGATCCATGGCAATGCTGGTAAATACACATTTGTTTGATATCAACAAATATAACACTTACTAAGTTTTAGACAGATACAATTTCAAATTTATAATAAACAAAAAACAATGATTTTTTATTTTTGTTGTTTTTACTTGATAATTTTTTCTTACATTTAAGATGTATAGCAATTGAAGGGTCAAGGGGAAGAACTTGATAAGCGCCAATTTCTTAATTTTAGGATTTTACAATATTATAGTAGGTCTAACTGGTCCCTACAAATTATCTAAACTCTGCAAGGCAATAAGTTGTTAAATCCTATGATATATGCCTAGTAAAAATATAGAATACACGGAAAGAACCTGATAACTAGCAGCCGTCCAGGGCTTTCCTGTAAAATTAGTAAAATGGCGCTTATCGTGTTTTTTCCCTGGACCCTTCAACTAATCTAATAAAATGTATATGAAACCTTATAGTTTAAGAGAATAAAGCTATATTATATTGTTGGTTGCTGTATTGCAATCTCAAAGAAAAGAGTAAATATTGAGGTGACTTAACATGTAAATAATGTTTATAATTTTTAATGTTTGGAATCATTTACAACATGACTATATTAGTGGGATGAAAAAGCAATAACAGGCTCTTTGGAAGAAACTATGGAGGGTAGAGGTAAGGAGAGTTATCTTCATGTATTGAAAAGTGATTATTAAAAAGGGAACAGTTAAAATGGCACTGCTGCAGCATTTGAAACAAACATCATACATTTTTAGAACGGGAAATAATTAAAAAAGTTAAATATAAATGCGATTTATGAAGGCGCGTGTGGCCAAATTTTTTGATTAACTTCACTTTATTTATAACCTCTAAGTTCAGTTCGATCCCTTATTGCTTATTAGCGCCATGTGGTTATTTAGTGAACCCCAGTTTTCCCCGTGACTACTTTTTCAAACAAAATCCAAAAAGAGATGAGTTTCCTTACCTCTTTCTGTTAGAACCCTCTCTATATTTACTTGTTTTTGTGATTATTGCAGTAAATCAATAGCAAATATTCACAGAACGGTACATAGCACTTGACAATTGAATTTTCTTTTAGAATTTGGAGAATTCTTGCATTGCAAGGGCAAGAAATTTGTCGATTTCGATGAAATCAGACGCGAAATCGAAAGTGAAACAGACAGAATCACTGGTAGCAACAAAGGCATATCAAATATTCCGATTAACTTGAGAGTCTACTCCCCAAATGGTATTATTTAAACAAAAAAAATAATAATATTTAAAAATTCAATTTATGCTATTTTTAGTGTTGAATTTGACTTTAATTGATCTTCCTGGTCTGACGAAAGTGCCCATTGGTGACCAGCCAGCTGATATTGAACAACAGATCAGGAGCATGATCTTGCAGTTTATCAAGCGCGATTCTTGCCTTATATTGGCCGTCACCCCAGCCAATACGGATTTAGCTAATTCTGATGCTCTGAAATTGGCCAAAGAAGTAGATCCCCAAGGTAAGATTGGTTTTCTATTTGATAACTGGCATATTGAATAAAAAAAAATGAGGGAGCATACCGATAAAATTAGTCCGACCGTGAAGTTTTTTTAATTTGGCTAACTTAAGGTACGCGCACACTGATCCGTACCTAACGACAGGTATGGTACATAACAGAAATGACGTCACGCGAAATTCCCGATCAGTGTAGCAGTTAATGTACGTTCATATTTATAATGCGATATCTCAATTTTTTTAAATGAAACACCTTGTATATTATTTTTCTGTTAAATGCAGCTTTAAAAAACGAACATTTTTTGTGTTTAAAGTGTTCCTATATTTTTAACGGTTTCGGAGATATTCGAAGTAATATATTACATAATATATGCCTCTTTCAACAGTAAAATATAACGTCAGTGAAACGTGATAACCTGCTAACTCCATTTTTTACGTTAATAAGTTTTTTTACACCATTAGAAAGAGAAAAAAATACTCTATAAGTAGGGAAAGCAAATACATTTTTTCCCATTAAAGAAAATTTGCAATTTTAACTCAATAATATCTGCTAACTCCCAGTGATCTGAAATAGCCACCGAAATGCTGCTAAGTCCATAATTTCCGTTACGATCACGCTAAAGCAAACACACAGATTCTTACTTGTATGTTTCTTTAGGACAGTACTTCCAGATCCAGGGTCGCACTAGGCCAAAGGGGCCCAGGTGGCAATGTAAGAAGGGGCCCGTGTAGATTTTTTTTTGCGAATTTGTTCGCCTTACGTTTTGGTCAATTTTTCACTATTATATACAGAGTTACTCTTAAATAAATGCAAATATTTTTATGGGTTGTATATTTCGACCCAAGGAACACGATTATGATTTTTTTGAAAATTTGGATTTTTTTTTTAAAAAAATTGGAATTTTTTTTTTAATTTTTAGTTTAAAACATACTTTGTTTGTAATATGGCAACATAGGTAGTAAATTAAATTTACAAGAAAGAAAATCTAATGATTCTCAAAATTATAGCAAAAAATTGGAAATTTTAAAAGTGAAATAACTCGGTTGTTTGGATTTATTTGAAAAAACGGTAAAGAGAAAATATTATGTTTCTTTTATCGAGATTTACCAGCCCTGAAAGTATTTGAAGTTATTTAAGACTCACCCTGTATAGAAATCAGGGAACTACCCTAATGCAAGGTAAACCAATGCAATGCAAATGCCATAATGCAATGCAAAAGCAAATATTGTTAAGAATAAATAATGAACTATAAAGGGGGCCCGCGAAGGCTGGGACCCCCCTAATAGTTATATACATATATAATATGGCCAGTTCGACCCTGCGTCGACCCGTTCTGTAAATACGGGGTATCCGTAAAGGGTAAGGGGAAAAACTAAATTCTCTATATACGAGCAATTCATCGGCATGCTATAAATAGTTTAAATAACCATTACTTACTTGTACAAGAATTTCCATAATACCTAATCAGTTTTATTTTTTTCAACGTTTTTTCACGTAAATGATATATAATCTTTATAAAAATTAAAAAGAAGGAGAAAGGTAATTAAAATTTAATAAAATCACGCACTGTTTTCCAAGCTCGGTCTACTACCGTTGTATAAAAATTAGGATAAGCATGGAAGAATTCTACTATATCTTCTAAGAATTATAAGTTTAATTTTTAAATTAGGTATTTTCATATTCATTAAGTCCAAAATGCTGCTACTTCAGATCTTTAAAAATGTATTAAAAAATTATTCTTTTTTGGACTTGTATGTTTTGCTTCTAGACCGACGATATTATAAATATATGGTTATATATATATATATCATATTTTTTAAATAATTGATTATTTCTAAATTTGTTTTTGTAATATTCAATTCCATTTTCAACATTTCAAACAATAAAGGTTGCTATCTCCTGAAGTATATTTTAATTTCTTATTTCTGCAAGACGAATATCTGCTATCTCCCTATTGTGTCTGAAAAAAATGATGTGACACGAAATATTGAGTTATATTGTTTCCCAGCAAATAAAATTCTTATCTCTTTATCATATTAACGCATCAAAATACTTCCTACATGTGTATATATTTTTTGTACCGTTTTTTTGCTCTCCTGTAAAATTATGAATAATGGAGTTAGCAGTTTATCACATTTCACCGACGATAAGACAAAAAATAATGAGGGGGCTTTGATAAAGTCTAGATTTATACATTTTATATAAAATCAATTATTATAAAAATAAAATAAACAAGAAATAACAAAAATAAACAGAAAATTGAAACTCGCAAACATTCGAATTTATCAAGAGCTGTGCCACATCTGTAAATACATAATCTGTGGTATTGTTTCATAAATTATATTACTACAAGAGTTTTTCTGTTATTTGTTGATTTTATCTAGAGACAAAAAAAACAAGCCAGTTTTCCATTAAACAGATATTTTGATTTTTAGAAAGTGTTTTTGTTTTGGTGATGAATATTCCCAGAATATTATATATTACCATAATAAGTATACTGTTTTTAATATTTATTATTAGATACACATAGTATATATTTATTACAGACCTATACAGGGTGGTCCAAGTTAAAATATATCTATAAGGACAATGGTAACGCATATAGTGCGTGATGGAACCTGTTAGTTTAAAAATATTTTAATATACAGTATGTCCCCGGAAAAAAAATGATGAATGCACTTTTTTGAAAATGTCAATTAAGTATAAAAAAGTTTTTCCTCTTGTAAAGACAATCCGGGGACATATTGTACATATATAAATGATAATATACAAATAATTGATATTTGATAACTGAATTTTTTGATTAAATTTTTAGTTTTTTTAATGGTATGTATATATTTTGTTTGTTCAAAGGTGACTAACTTCTCATTCTAAAAATACCATATTATCTCTACTGATTTAACAATTTTGTGAAATATTCTATATCAATTTTACAAATTTAATAATTTAATCTAATAAAAATGATCATATCTTAACAGCCATTCAATATTTACTGAGTTACAACAAAATATGACATTATAGTATTTTTCGACTAGGGCTTTAATGGCTGAGTAAAATATACATAAATATACATCACCACACATTTAAAAATACAGAAGTTCAGTGTAAAAATATATTTGAAACGTCCTGTGTATATCTCTGTGAAAATGTCTCCTCATATTTTATAATAGTGATTTGAGTGAAAATCATAAATATAAAATGAAAATCTCAAATATAAATATTGATCTAGTCTTCTTACGGGACCAGTAGTGGGATGTAGCGTATGATAAAAAAACGGCGTCAAGTTGGTTAGTAAATGACGATCAAATAAATTCACCGAATAAATTTATATACCGGGTGCGTCTCAAAAGTGGCTTACCCCTATAACTTTTTTATTTTTTCAGATAAAACAACGAGATTTGGTATGTTAGTATATGACATAAATTGGGATTGATTGACGTATTCAATTGTTTTTGGTCATTTCCTGTTTCACCCTCAATGGCACCCTCGGTATTTTTTTACTTTATTCGATAGAAAATGACATTCTGAATCGAAAGACATATCATATTTCAATTTTTGACATAGTCACTCAAAAACAAATTCTATTTTAAATTTCAATCTAGAGTGCCATGGCTGTGTTAAAAACACTAATTTTTAATCAAGGAGCCTCGGAAAAATAGATTTGATCGTCTAATGTTTTTAGTGTCTTGTTCTGACCGATTAAAAGATGCCCAAATCGTATTTTTAATCATATCTCAATTTTTTCAAGTGGAACGAGGGTGGCTCATTAGCATATTTGGAAAAAGCATTTTTTTATGAATAATTTGATACCACACACTTGGTATTTTGAGTCAAATTGTTGTTATGAACCGCATGTTACAATTTCAAATAAACCATATGCCAAAATGTCAAAAGTTGATATATGATATGGCATTCGATTCAGAATGTCATTTTCTATCGAATAAAGTAAAAAAATACCGAGGGTGCCATTTGAAAATCAAAAGTTGTAGTCATTTCCGGTGAAACAGGAATTAACCGATAACAATTGAATACGTCAATCAATCCCAATTTATGTCATATACTAACATACCAAATATCGTTGTTTTATCTGAAAAAATAAAAAAATTATAGGGGGTGAGCCACTTTTGAGAGGCACCCGGTATAAAATGTATTTCCAAGGTAACTCTGACGCGTTTTTTTTTCGATCGTGTAATCGTTGCAAGATACTAAAAAATTTTTTAAATTATTTAAAAGTACAATGTGATTGTTTACATTTTATTCATTCATATATCTGCACTTCACACAAAATTAGAATAATTAAATTCAATTTATTTTGTTGACAAAACTTATTGAAAAATCCCATTTTTTATCAATTTTCAAACATTCTATGTCATTTTTAAAAAAATTGTAACTTATCTACGTTTTTAAAAAATTATGAGTCATATAAATTATAGACTATTTTGTGTTTGTTTTATATTTTACAAAATAAAAATGTTTGATAAGAGTTCATTACTAGGCCATATAAGATGTTATTTTTAAGATATAAATATAAATATTTCAGAGTAAGACAAACTATTATATCTTTCCAGTGATTAACAAAAAAAATATTGTCTATGTCCCTTCTATGTCTAAAAGATTTCTGGTAATTTGCTGTTTCTTTTTATTATAATGCAAACATCAAGGATGAATAATTTTTTAATTAAATTAATTGCACATCATTGTGTACAATTAAGAGGTATTTATATTGTTTCATCTTACATTGTTTGTAAGACGATATAACTTGAGATATTCATGTAAGAGTTTTAAAAATTAAAAATCATGAATTTTCTTGGAAATCCTCAACAAACTTGAGTTGACTAACTACGTTATTTTATTTAATGTTCCTAGTTTTATGGATTTATGTATATGTATATACCGGGTGCGTCTCAAAAGTGGCTCACCCCTATAACTTTTTTATTTCTGAAGATTACAGAACGAGATTATGAGGTATTAGAGGTATGTTGGTTATATGAAATAAATTAGGATTGATTGACGTGTTCAATTATTTTCGGTCACTTCATGCTTCACCGGAAATGACTACAACTTTTGATTTTTAAATGGCACCCTCGGTATTTTGTTACTTTATTCGATAGGAAATGACACTCTGAAGAGAATGACATATCATATGTCAACTTTTCACATTTTCTCATATGGTTTATTTGAAATTGTAACATGCGGTTCATAACGAAAATTTGACTCGAAATACCTAGTGTGTGGTACTAAATTATTCGTAAAAAAGGCGTTTTCCAAATATGCTAATGAGCCACTCTCGTTCGAAAAAATTGAGAAATGATTAAAAATACGATTTGGGCATCTTTTAACCGGCCAGGACAAGACACGAAAAACATTAGACGATCAAATATATTTTTCCAAGGCTCGTTGATTAAAAATTAGTAATTATAATACAGCCATGGCACTCTAGATTGCAGTTTAAAATACAATTTTGTTTTAAGCGAAAATGTTAAAAGTTGACATATGATATGTCATTCTATTCAGAGTATCATTTTTTATCTAATAAAGTAAAAAAATACCGATGGTGTCATTTAAAAATCAAAAGTTGTAGTCATTTCTGGTGAAACAGGAAATGACCAAAAACAATTGAATATGTTAATCAATCCTAATTTATGTCATATATTAACATACCAAATCTCGTTTCTGTATCTGAAAAATTAAAATAGTTATAGGGGGTGAGCCACTTTTGAGACTCACGCGGTATAATTATCATAAGATATTTTTTTCTATATTTAAATTATTTTGTTTGTTTAGTGTGCTGTTAAAATACTATGGAGAAATATTCAATGTAGAGATAATTAGTAATTATGTAATTGTGTATATCTTAATTATATTTAACAAGTCGTAAATAAAAGCGAAAATGCAAATATAGTTAGTTAATTCCAAGTGAATTTCATAAATGATCAGTTTACTATATACTATGTATTAATAAAATTATATAAAAATTCTTGCCATTTAACTGCTGATATAGAAATTTAATTCCACGCTGTGTTTGTCATAATGTGGATCAACCTGCTCTCACTACCGATTTCGGAGCCCTACTACATCATCGGGTGAGCTTGGGTCGGTTCCACAAAATGACAAACACAGCGCAGAGTACCTAAATCCGACTTGTCGGAAAGTAGCAGTTAGATTATAGGTTAGATATTAAGTCCCGCACGGGAAATAGCGGCCCGCGTGCAATGGTAATACTTTCGTACCACCGAGGCGACACTATCGATAGTAAAAAGGTTTTTTTTCAGTCAAGTCAAATTATAAAATGGAAAACAGATTTCTTGGAGTATAGGTATATAATAAAATTATATAAAAATTCTTGCCATTTAACTTCTGATATAGAAATTTAATCCCACGCTGTGTTTGTCATAATGTGGATCAACCTACTCTCACTACCGATTTCAGAGCCCTACTACATCATCGGGTGAGCTTGGGTCGATTCCACAAAATGACAAACACAGCGCAGAGTACCTAAATCCGACTTGTCGGAAAGTAGCGATTAGATCTATGGGTTAGATATTAAGTCCCGCACGGGAGATAGCGGCCTGCGTGCAATGGTAATACTTTCGTACCACGAAGGCGCAACTATCGATAGTAATTTTTTTTTCAGGCAAGTCAAATTATAAAATGGAAAACAAATTTCTTGCAGTATAGGTATATAATAAAATTATATAAGAATTCTTGCCATTTACCTTCTGATATAGAAATTTAATCCCACGCTGTGTTTGTCATAATGTGGATTAACCTGCTCTTACTACCGGTTTTACTATGTATTTTATACAGTCACTTATCAGTGAAAAGTTATTCCATTATTTCCCTCGATTTTTGATCGAGATCTACCGCACACTGTACAACCAACTATGTTACAGTCTTTTTCGATAAATTGCCGGTAATTTCAAACTTTGCTGGTAACATACATGTATAGGGTGGTCCGAATTGTATTTGGAAAACTCCGGCAGCATATTATGCAGATAAAAATAAGTAAAAAATGTGTATATAAATGTTTGTCCTAAAATGCTTAGCCCCGTATTTATCGCGTTTCGAATCTGGGTCTCAGAAAAGATCGACAAAAATAACAGGCTTACTACCCTACTAGGCGCGTGTATATCGGCGACGAAACGTAAGTAAGCCTGTTATTTTTGTCGGTCTTTTGCATCTCGTGACTGGAGTCGCGGTTTGAGACTCGACTATATATACAGGTCTTAGATTCGGAGGTACAGGTTGCAGAAGTTTCATTTTTATTTCGATTTTTTCCAAATCATTTCTGGGCCCGAATTCTGTAACTTAGAAAACGCTAAGCGCTTTTAGACGGTCAGCGTATATGACGTTAATTTTCGCATAGCGCGCATTTAACTACCGATTTGGATATTCTCATCTGACGCGCTTAGCGTCTTTACCTTTGAATAAGAAGGCTAAGGAAGGAGCATAATGCTATCCATGTATTCATGCATGGTGGGCGGAAAAAGGACTCTAGGGTGGGGATCCTTGACAGTTCTGTTTGACGATTCATTTGACACATTTAAATTTGATTTGAATTTTTGTGGATTTGTCAGTCTTTACGGAGCTTATTTTATGATATTTATTATTTATTCTACTACTAATAGTTGTATAAAGGTAGTAAATCTAGATGGAAATTGTGGCAGAACTTAAATTAACAGTGACACTATCGCGATTTATCGAAAAAGACTCTAAAATAGTTGGTTTTGTAGCGTGCGGTAGATCTCGGCAAAAATCGAGTAAATAATGGAACAACTTTTCGCTAGTAAGTGACTATATAATATACATGCGTGTAGTAAACCGATCATTTATGAATTTAAATACGTCAATTTGACTTATCTGCTTCAGTAGCGTATCGGATGTTTGTGTTAATAAATAATTATTAAAACTTATCTATTTTTATTATAATAATATGTTTTTATAACAATTTTAATAACTACCAACATTTATTCACAACGTAAAATAAAAAAAAATATTGAGTCTACCCTACATCATAGTTTTACATTTTTTAAGTAGTTCGGCCATATTTGAGTCCCATTGCGGTGGACCTAAGGTTTTTGATATGCTCCTTCCCTAGGCTTCTTATTCAAAGGTCTTTACTGATGGCGCTAAGCGATTCGAAAACGGTTAACTTAAAGGATCGTTTTGCTTGTCGAACTGTCAGAGAAAATCGAAGAAATTGTGATTTTGTGCGTTATCTTGCTCTTTTGTGAAGATTACTTTCTCTTCTAAAATTCCTCAATAAGTAATTGATAATTTACGACTTGACAGCTATAAATATTATTCAAAACATTGAAAAAGATGAGAAGCGTCTTCAACATTTCCCTCGTATAATAAGAATAATGACATATCCATAGAAAAATAGGTTGACATTAACTCAACAATAGGTTATGCAATTCACGTAACATTGACATTTTTCATTGTTTTATTAGCATTTGACTATTAGATACCTGAGAAATTGCGATGCTGTTAATATGTGCTCAACGCGTATCCAAAAAACGATTTGCACGGCAACGAGAATACCAAAATCGACTGCTTGGCGTTCCGCTAATCGAATACTTTTGCTTACCTCTTTGAAAGCGTAACATATTTATGTCAAAGTTACAGAATTCGGGCCCTGAACTAATGTCGATATTTGATGAAAATTAGTGTCTGGGAGTGTTTTGAGATGAGCACATGAGCAGTTTGATGTAAATATGACTCCTACTTATAGAGGGCGCCACCTAGATATTTATTAATTGATTTAAAGAGTATTATACCTTTCGTCAGTACAACTTAACAAGTATAGCTAGAGACGTGCGAAATATAAAATAACACGCGACCGGTGCTGTCCCCAAGTCTCTTCCTATATTTGTACAACTGTACTTCTATAAAACTACTGAGTAAAAAAAATATACATTTGCGACCTTTTTTTTACGCAAAAAAGGTCTCTTGGTAAAAATCGCTACGATTAATGGTCCCCGAAATATTTGGAATCGAAATTATCAATACCTGTCAGTGACATAAATTAAACATATTGACTAAATAGTTATTAGACTGTAATAATAAATTTGACATTTTTTTGTGCTAAAGGTTCCACAAAAACTGTTTTATCATAATTTTTTTCAAAGAAACATTTTTATGATTAATATAAAAAAATCCCAAATTTATTATTTCAGTCATATAAGTCATATTGCCATTCTAAATATCATGAGAACGGTTACTTGTAGCGATTTTTACCAAGACACATTTTTAAATGAAAATATATATTTTTTTACTCTGTAGTTTTATACAAGTACGGACGAAACGTTATTACTTTTCAAAATAGTTAAAACACAGTAGGTGGCGCCCCCTACAAGTAGGAATCATATTGACATTGAAATCAAATTTCTCACACACCGATTTCTATCCAAATATCGACTATAGTTTAGGAATTATTTGGAAAAACCGAAGTAAAAATGAAACTCCTACACCCTGTATCTCCGAAAAGAAGCATTTTAAACCATAAATTTATACGAACTTTTTTACTTATTTTTATCTACCGAATATGCTGCCGAAGTTTCCCGAATACAATTCGGACCATCCTGTATAATAATCTTGGATTGTAATATCAGGTATTATACGTTTTTTGATTTATGAATTGTTTTTTCTTTAGGTATTAGAACCATTGGCGTAATAACAAAGTTAGATTTGATGGACGAAGGGACAGACGCAAGAGATATTTTAGAGAATAAGTTGTTGCCATTGCGGAGAGGATATATCGGAGTGGTTAATCGATCGCAAAAAGATATCGAAGGCAGAAAAGATATCAATGCAGCTCTAGCAGCAGAGAGGAAATTTTTCTTGAGGTATAGAAAAATACTATCTATAATTTAGTTGAATACTAAAAAAAATATAGTTAGCTTGTAAAGCTTGACCTTCTTTACATAGAACAAGAATTAGTAAACCCAAAAAAATCCTTTATGGGTATTTCGCCACTGTACTGCAAATATAGATATTTTTTAAGAATTAGTAAAGTTTACATTACAAAAAAGTTAAAATAGTTATAAACTCCATAATTTTTAATCACCTTTGAACTGAAAATTTAATTCGGCAACATTATTTAGAGATGGCACTGTGTAGTCCTGTTATTTTTGACATAAGGCACGCATTTGTTTCTTTGGTAATTGTTTGTTTTAGGTCCGTGAAATGATTTTGCTTTTCGTTGACGAACTCGATTTTACGGTTATTTTTACAATTACCGTTCCTATATTTTTTAAATAAATCTTAGTTTATTTGAAAGTATAATTTTTTAATTATTTTCTTACAGCCATCCTTCTTATCGCCACATAGCCGATAGGCTAGGCACGCCTTATTTACAAAGGATTCTAAATCAACAGCTGACCAATCACATTAGAGATACGTTGCCTGGATTAAGAGATAAGCTCCAGAAGCAGCTGCTTACCCTGGAAAAAGATGTGGATCAATTTAAGCATTTTAGACCTGATGATCCGGCTATTAAAACCAAAGCTATGCTACAGTAAGTCATTATTTACTATAAATTTTAAAAATATTTAAATTATATTATTATAAATATTTTCTTCCATTTTTACAGAATGATTCAACAGCTTCAAACCGATTTCGAAAGGACTATCGAAGGATCAGGATCCGCACAAATTAACACCATGGAGCTTTCCGGTGGTGCCAAAATCAACCGCCTGTTCCACGAAAGGTTTCCGTTTGAGATCGTTAAAATGGAGTTTGATGAGAAGGAGTTACGAAGAGAGATCGCATTCGCTATTAGAAACATACACGGTATTAGGGTAAGTTTAATTTTCTAAGTAAGGGTTTAAATTGCTTGGTTATCCTCCTTACTTTCCAGATTTAGTTCCAAGCGATTTTAATATTGATTTTCCTACGTATGTACATTTGAACTACTGCTTGTAGTGAGTAAGAAAAAATAATTTCTAAGGTTGTTTCTATTCTTATAGGTTGGTCTTTTCACTCCAGACATGGCTTTTGAAGCTATTGTAAAGAAACAAATTTCAAGATTAAAGGAGCCGTCACTTAAGTGCGTGGATTTGGTCGTCACCGAACTGTCAAATGTCGTTCGCATATGTACAGATCGTGTAAGTATTTACATAATATCAATTAAAATTATGTTTATATCTTTGTAATTAAATGAATGATCTATAAAATTATCTACAATACTGGTAGTTATAATAAAAATACTTTTAATTTCTAGATGAGTCGTTACCCTAGGCTTCGCGAAGAAGTAGAGAGAATTATTACCACTCAGATTAGGCAAAGAGAACAGTATTGTAAGGACCAGATTTGTTTGTTGAACGATTGCGAGTTGGCATACATGAACACAAACCATGAAGATTTTATCGGTTTTGCCAAGTAAGAAATATTATATACTGTTTTTTATTATAATCACTTGAATAATTAGGCATATTTTATCTTTTTTGTTAACATAAACATCTCTATGAACGTAAATAGATATGGTACATTTGAACTACCGTTCAAACTCTAAACCATATTTTTTCATTACATTGAACAAAAATGCTAAGGACAAAAAAACATATGTATTTCTAATAAAAATAAATGAATTAATATAATTATAACAAACTTTTAAAATTGACGTATCTTATTTATTTTTGACAAGTAGTAAATAAATGCGAAAATTTAATAATAAAACTTTAATTAGTTAAGTCTAAATGAATTCCAAAATTTGTTTGTTTACTACTTGTAACATGTATTATATAATTACTTACTAGTGAGATGTTTCATTATTTTTTCATGTTCCCTTCTTGCCTAGGGACAATCGCGCTGTAATTTAAGTCCTGACATAATGTTTTTCAGATTTATACACTACATAAAACCAATTATAAAATTAACAAGAGAAATATGAAATAAAATCAGGAAATCGCAAAAAATCGTCAAAAATTAAGTAAGATGTGAAAACAAGTTTTTCACATCTGTTTTGTCTCTAGTGGTATAAAATATGAGATATCACAAAAAGTTTGCAACAAATGGGATCTTTTAGAAAATATTTAATTATGTATATGGTATATTTGAACTACCGAACCTATGACAATATTTCTTTCAGTGCTCAGAACCAGTCTGAGGCTGCCACAGCCAAAGGTTCCCGGTCCTTGGGCAACCAAGTGATCAGAAAAGGTTACATGTGCATTCACAACCTGGGCATTATGAAGGGAGGCTCGCGGGACTACTGGTTCGTCCTCACTTCCGAAAGCATCTCCTGGTTCAAGGACGAGGAAGAGCGTGAAAAGAAGTACATGCTGCCGCTGGACGGACTTAAATTGAGAGATATCGAGCAAGGGTTCATGTCTAGAAGGCATATGTTTGCTTTGTTTAATCCTGATGGCAGAAATGTGTACAAGGTAAGTGAATCTTCATTACTAACTACATACAGCAACACAAGAAAAACATTATTATACTAGTTGAAGCCTGGCGCATCCGCCACGACATCAAAATCCGGCGACGACAGTTTTTAGTAGAGCCAATTAGCTATCTTTTAGTAAAAGAAAACTTTCTAGAGCAAGTCGTTACTTCAGTAGAGACGACACAGATAAACATTAGCATTTTATATATCCACCTAACCTAACCTAACCAAGCAAATTATATTGAAATTTTACAAGAGCAAATACAAATATGAAGACAGACTAGTTTGTTACAATTTGTTTTTACACTATTTTACATTTTTTCTTCTAGGACTATAAACAATTAGAATTGAGCTGTGAAACATTGGATGAAGTAGATTCGTGGAAAGCTTCGTTTTTACGAGCTGGAGTCTATCCAGAAAAACAAACAGAACAAGTTAATGGAGATGAGGTAAGTCAGTAATAAACAACTGTCATCATTGTATCACAGATTATACAGATTATAATCTTTGTTTTTTCTTTATTGTTTTTCGTGGTTCCAATTTTCGGAATCGGGCACTAGTTAGGTGACTAGTTTGCGCACATAGCACGCCCACTTATGGCCTCTAAAATTGTGCACAGCGCCTGACCGGCACAGTTATTAGAGAGATATCGGTAAACCGAATAGCGTCATCCAGTATTTACGCGTACCTTATCATGGTTACGATATGCGCGAGTCAACGCAACACCCGCTAATAACGTTACCGCCTGACGTAATTTGCGGATCAATTACACCAAGCGCTCTTTCCAAATAACCTCTGATAACGTTTAAAAATTGCTTAAATGGGCATGTGCGGGTATTTGACAACCGGAGCCGGCCGGCGAGATCTTTTACTTTAGATTATGTTTGAATTGTTTTGAATTATTGCTTTAGTTTTATTAGGTAATCTGATATTTAAGTAGCTGGGATTAGTTTTAATTAAATAAATATGGCTCAAAATATGGATTCCACCTCTTCCAATACTAAAGAACCTATAAAGAGTCTTAGGTTTACAGCGGATGACGACTTAGCCCATCTAAGAGAATTTGTTGCTTGTTGTCCTAAACCCATTGGCAGACGTTGAACAATAAAGCACTGGAAATAAGCACTTTAGCCCTTTAGTTTTAAAATACCTAGTCAACAAAACAATTTCAAAGTTTTAAATTCAAAGTTAGGTTAAGTTTAAATAGCGGACGCGACGCGATCAGAATTCTTTCCGATCCGATAACTATAAATGAAGAGAGTTAATACCACCTCACGTAAAGGAAATAACACCTGGCCTTATTAACGTCCATGCACGCTATTTTTTTAGCGTTTAGCGATATCTCTCTATTACGCTGTTTATTGTTATTTTACGCGAGTTTATTTTTGCGCACAGGAAATTTGACTCGTTTGCACATCGTCATAAAAAAACAATTTTCGTACCACGAATTAGGGACAAGATTTTTATCTGTATACTTATAGGATACTTAATCTGTGGTTGTGTAGTAGTATGCTCTATTAATTTATAAATGCTTTTTTTAGCAAACTATCAACGAAGGATCGTCCAGTTCCATGGATCCTCAACTAGAACGTCAGGTTGAGACCATCCGAAATTTGGTAGATAGTTACATGAGAATTGTAACTAAGACTACTCGAGACTTAGTACCTAAATCTATTATGCTTTTGATTATCAACAATTGCAAGGATTTCATAAATGGAGAACTTTTGGCCCATATTTATGCTAGCGGTGATCAGGTATAATAAGCTTTTAAATCTAAACATTTCTCTTCAGGGAATTAAGAACCAATTAACGATATTTTTCAGTCCCAAATGATGGAAGAAGCACCGGAAGAGGCACAGAAACGAGAGGAGATGATGCGCATGTACCACGCGTGCAAAGAAGCTCTGCACATCATCGGGGACGTTTCCATGGCGACGGTGTCCACGCCAGTCCCGCCGCCGGTGAAGAACGACTGGCTCGCGAGCGGATTGGATAATCCGCGCTTGTCCCCACCCAGTCCGGGCGGTCCCAGAAAGCCCACGCCTCAAATGGGCGCGGTCGGATCCAGCGGTAAGATTAATTGTAATTAAAGGGTTTTTAAGTCCTCAGTATTTTGAAGCTGTTATACCTTATCATTACGCGATACGTAAAAAAGAATTACGGTTTGCGTTTTTTATATCGTCTTCTGAAAAACGTTTTTGCGGCTTGACTACAACACGTACCATGTTATTTATTTTGACAGGTGACGTTTCATCTAATCAAAGCGTCAAATAATTTATAACCATGAATAATTGAAGGTTTAGTCAGAGGTTAAGTCTTATTTCATGGTTTGGTGATTGTTACAACTGTTTTTTTTGTGCTCTTTTTTGTTTTAATCCAAGTTCAAGTTGAAGACAATCTCTTTACAGCTGGCGTTCAATACCGGCGTTGCCAAATTTATGTTTAGGGAATCGCATTTTTAATATTTTACTAAAAAGGTCATTAATCTGATGAGGAAATAATTACAGATTCATTCCAAGTATAGATTTATTGATAAAACTACGTTGCCTTACATTTATTTTAACTAAATGTTATATGCAATGAATCTGGCAACAATGTACAGACTTTCACGTTATTAGCGTTAGTGATATTTGTCCTTAATTAGCGTAGTACGTTATCGCTTATTAACTTATTTGGTTATTTAAGTATCAATGCACCTGCTCCGTATAATGTATAAGGTATAATGGAATAATTTTAGAGGGCCTAAAAACTCCCTATTCCCTATTGTCTAGTAAAAGTTAAGTTATATTAGCAGAGAATGAGATGCTTTTAATAAGAAAAATACAGATACGCTACTAAAACAACTAAGTAAACTTTATAAAATTGATGCAGTAAATACGAAAAGGCAAGGTTAACAATATGATTAGTTAATTTTAAATGAATTTCGTAATTTATTGGTTTACTAGGCATAACATGCCATATGATCGAAAAAAACGGCGTCAAAGACGGCTGGGGAATGACAGTTGATGATAATTGTAGCGAAGTCAATCTCTAGACGTCATTTACTAAAAATTGACATAAAACTTGTCAGAAATTAACCCTAATTATCGAAAGATTAAAAAAGGATAGAACATTTCCAGACAAATCTATTTCCAAAAAATATTTTTTTTTTCTCGAATTTTAAACTACACCATTTAAAAATCATTTTACTCAATATAAAAATAAATTACAACCTTCTTAAGCACTACTAAAAAGTAAAGAAGAGCCATGGCTAAGTAATAGGGTAACGTCTAGAGTCTAGGGCTTGATCTCGCCAAAATTTTCATCAATTGTCATTCCCCAGCCGTCTTTGACGCCATTTTTTTCCCGATCGTATTGTACAATTATTTACTTTTTAGTGAAAATTTTATCCTTTATTTTCAATGTTTTTCAGCTGGGAACAATAGCATCCAGCACAAGTAGTACTATTCTTGAAGTCTCTTTCTAAGATTTACAATACTCTCACTGCAATTCAAGTCCTGACACAAGGTCTTTTCAGATTCATACATTTTGTGTGAAACCAATAATAAAATAATCATGAACTAATAAAAAATATATACAGAAAATCATTGGCGTATTTAAAATTCGTAAAAATTCAAACCTGTCAAAAGTCAAGAAACAATATTAACAGAGAAGAGGTTCCTATAACGTAACTTCCATCCCTTATGTATGTTAAACTTTTCTAGGTTCGCTGGGATCCAGGGCTCCGCCCCCACCGCCTGCTTCCGGTCGCCCCGCCCCCGCCATTCCCAACAGGCCTGGCGGTGGAGCGCCGCCTATGCCTCCCGGTCGCCCTCAAGGTCAGGCTTTGCCCGCACCCCTCATTCCCACGTAAGTATCGTTTGTTTTTCATTCTTGTTCTTTATGTTCCCTTATATTAACGTACTAAGACTTTTTCGCGCTTTTGGTTTGAAGTTCGGGTTGATGCTATACAGGATGAGTAATTCACCGTGGTTAATTATTACCTTATGCAAGAGTAATAATACCAAGAGAAAATTGGTATTTTTTAATTGGCGGCCCTTTCGGGCCTCTTAGCGGCCATCTTTCGAACTTAATAATTTAGCTTGTTCAATTTACCTGTAAATATATTATTTTCTTTAAGCTCTATTTTTAACTATTTTTGAATTAAAGCTTTTAGACACTATGGGTTGTTCACCCTGTATATTTCAAAAAATAACACACTGACAAAATTTATTAAAAAAAACAGTATTAAAATTATAATTTTGATATTATCAAATTATTGCGGACAATTATGAAACATTTATTGATATTTTTCGTTTATATTGGACAAATTTAAATGTTTCCTAGATATTTAACCACAGGTTAAATTGTAAACTTGTGGTTTTCTTTTCAGGAGACGTTAGGAACGTACATGTGCGCTCATCATCAGAACATTGTATTGTTAAATTTACCCTTGGATATTATTAATGTTATTACAATATTTTTTATAGAACCTATTTTTTTCTTGCCTTTATGAAATTATTTTTTATTTCAAGCGTATCAAGAGATAATATCACAGTAAAAAGATCTAAGCAGTAAGTCGAAACTTGTTGATTCCATTTTTGTGTATGATTGAATTTTTTGTAAAATATGAGTAGCCAATGAATATAAAGCTTTACAGTCACGTGACATCCAAAATTGAAAGAAGGAGGATATCTGTAATAATGCTGACACAGTGTCTTTCCAAACTTGTACACTTTGCATAATAACAACTTTAAAATAAACAACAAAAAAGATATAATATAAACTAAACCTAAAAACCTCCACAAATTTGCAAAAATTCAAATGTGTCGAGCGAACCGTCAAACAAAGCGACGAAATAAGGTTCAAGCTGACAAAAAAGCAACTCTAAAAGAAGGTTCATAAATGACACAAATTCAAACGTATTAAATACAACCCTGCCTTATTTTCTACATTCCAGTGACATTCCATCTACATTCCGCACGCGCTATGAAGTTAACCTTCTACTTGGATCTTTATACTGTGATTATATTTATATTTATTCCTTTAAAGAAGATGAAAACAAGAATATATTATTAGGGTGCTAAAAGTTATTATACGTTAAGGCTTATTACAATATCATATATAAAATAAAATGTACTAGTTATTTAAGTGTAAAGTACTTGTATAGTATTTGTTGAATCCACATTCTTGTCTCTCGAATCTGAGTAAAAAAATGCTTTGTTGTATTTTTTTAACATGTTTTTTTTATGTATTTAGGAGGCTTGAAAAATGTTTTTGGCTTAGTTCAAATTATGGTGCTGCTGTTCTTATCAGAAAGTATGGCATTATCAAATGATTTTCTATTTATTGAGAACTAAACTTTGCTTTGTATGTGGAATATTTCCTAAATTTAAAAAAAAACTAAATATTTTTTTCCTAAATATATTTTGACCGAAAGATAGGCTTTTGAAGTATTTTTCGCGAAAAAATATTGTTTAAGAAAATATATTTTTTCTGATATATGTATATTACCGAGTTACTTATCTTCTGAACTGTTCTCAGAATATTTCAGAAGTGGGATAAACTGTTATTTCTAGATAAAATTTGGAAATGTTACTGTTATTTAAAAATAACAGCTTAAAATGATAGTTTTCCGTTGTTTATTCATTTTGGTGTAATCGGTCAAAACATCAATATAAACGAGTATATTTTAATAAGTATAAGTATAAATTAACATAACAGTACAGACATCTTTAATGTCGGTAATTTAATTAATCGGTTAATGCATTGTTATTCTCATATCTGTTATTTGTGGTAAGTTACTAACTGTTACCAGCATGTAAATAACATTAGGTCGCGGCGATCTTTACTTCGTAATCCGTAGTTGTCACTGTGCGGATATTTTCCTACCTGTTATTTTTTGGAAGTAACAATGGTTACGAACTGTTATTTCTTAATAACTGATCGTTAAATTTAATAATAGTCTCGGGAATCTTTATACTAAGACCTTCTACTTTATACTACTCTTTATACTAAAAAAACAATGCTGCCACTTCGTATAGTCCTTGTCGCTGTACTGTTATTTTCCTACCTGTTATTTTTTGGAAGTAACAACAGTTTCGAAGTTTCCGAGTTGTCGCTTACCGATTAACAATAGTTTTAAAATATATACACCCACTGATATAGGATGTACTGTGGTAAGGTTAAGGTACCTTTGCGATCACTCAGTCAGGGGGAGGGTACGTGCGTTTGTACCCTTTAGTAGTTTGAAATCAGTCACAGCAGCACCATAATTTGTAGTTACGCATATGACAGGGCGCTGACCTTATCTGCGTGCTCTGACCCAAAATAAATTTGTTCTCTCTGGTGTTTGACAGAAGGGCACAGACAGGTGGCGTCCAAATACCCCAACAAGTGCAAATGGCAGTTGGCAGGGCCATGACCCAGGCGGCAGTCAACGAATTATCGAACGCCTTCAAGTTTAAGTAAATATACACAATATGCATTTCACTTGTTTGTTGTACTTGTACTGTTTCTTTGAGAGCAAAAAAGCAACTGTCTACTAACATGTTTTATGTGCGAAAGCCTGTCAAGGTGTACCATATCTATGTAGAGATGAAATATGTACGTAGGAATGTCGATAATAAGTAATAGTTCACTTTTGTGGTACTGAAGTTGAGGTAACTAACAGGAGAAGGTTTTCAGAAAAGAAATGCTTATGCTTTAGATGTGGTGATTTTTTTATATAAAAATGCTTACTATACAGAGTGGCCCGAAAATGCTATATAAAGATATATCAGGTTTCCTATTCGAGATTTCTACTCCAATCTTTTTTCAAATATAATTTTTACAGTAAGTTAATTATTTTAAATGTATTTTTCGTTATGCGGATTTGCCATAAAATTCCGATTCCAAAAATAATGTAAGGTCATATTTCATATTATACCGAATAGTTTTTAAATATAGCCATTTTTTAGATAAATTGGTCTATTTTAATATAATTAGTTTTGAAGGAGAATATGATAAAATACTTCCAGTTATAAAGCACCCATAACTTGCATTTTTTTAATTTAGGAAAACTTTATATGTGTATAAATACATACCGTTTTAAAAACAACTTTAGAGTAAAACGTATATTTGAAGTATGTCTATAAATACATTTTTAAAATGTACACTACTGTTGTCAGGATATTTAAGAATAACATTTGAATAAAATTCTCAAATAGGAACTTGATACATATCACTTATTCGCCCTGTATATACCAGAAGTGTCAAAAATTGTTGAGTTATATTAAACAAAATTCAACTAAGAGATTCCTTAAATTCACAAACTTCTTTAAGAAAGCGTCTAGTTTTGGGGTTTAATAATATATTAATTTTTCACCATTATTATCTTATGAAATAAATTTTTGTACGGATTTCTTATGTAAATCCCCTTAAAAAACATGTGTTAAGCTCAACAGGATGTTTTTGATATGTTAACACAAATATTATTTATGGGGCAGAGACAGAAATTTATATTAAAACCTTAATAATATTTCGAGTGTTTCTGTAACAATGAATTCAATGTAGTGTACCAGTTTTGCCTAATGATTTGCCTGGTTATAGATAACCCGACTTATGTTTTATTGAATGTGGATAGTATATAAAAAGATTTTTATCTTATACATATAATAACGAGATACATATATATTTGAAGTATAAATATATAAACCTAAAGACACCTCATTAATATAAACGATTCCATACTTAACATTCCAAAGTAAGAGCTAAAAGTTAATAAGTTGTCGTCAGAAATCTAATAGAAATTATTTTATTTTACTGTATTATTTCAATTAAAAACAGTTATACATGAACTGTTTAACATATAAATAAATTATTATTTTTTATAAACATTTATTATAAATATTATGTATCTAAATTAAAAAGTATTTAATATGTAATTCCTCAGAAATACTTATTATACTCATATATCTGCAGAAGATTTTGAAATTTATGAATTTTGAATCCATTAGTGATAATATTCTAGTTTTCTATCGATAAAAAATTAAGAAAAAATATTTACAAAGATGGGAAAACTGAAACTTCTTTCAAAGTAACAGTTGGAGCTGTTACTGTTGTTTAAAAACGCGGTTTTAAAATTTCGTGGCGCAGCATACCGACATCGCGAGTCATTGATATCACTGAACTGTTATTTACTGTTCTGTTGCCCACTTGATAAAATATACTAAGTAAAAGCTGTTGCAAGCTGTTACTTAAAGTATTAGATTTTTGACGACGTTAGCATATTTATATACATATATTAGAGATAAAACTCGATATTGTGCAACAAATGGTACATTAGTCGAGAAGTTCTTCCGTATTAATGTGCATTATTATATAGATGTCTGTAATCATTAGGTGATTTCTAGAGCTACAAACGTATGTCTTAGATAAACAGCGTTCCATATTACAGCTAATATTCAGATTTTTTATCGTAATTATACAGAAAGCCCTTGAAAGGAAATAGGAGATTATTTTTAAACAGTGATAGATTGGAGGGGAAATTTAATATAGCGCCTTATCTCAGACGTACGTCATTTAAATAAAAAAGAATCTTTAAAAACTAATGTATGTCTCTTCACTACTGTTACTACTACTATTGCTGCATTGCTTAGAATTAGTAATAATATCTAACTGCACACAGAGTTGTTTGGCGTATGTCTTAACAAGCTAACAATGTAGATGAAAAACTAGAGCTAAATAAAGGTAGATTTAAAGCTGAATACATAATAGAAACAGTCAATTATTGACGTATTCTCTCTAACGAGTACCTTGTAAAGGTAATGTACTTTACTAAGTTGTTATGCAATATTTAAGTATATAAAACAAGAGTAAGATTAGATTTCGCAAATTATTTATTTCGATTGGCATATGAACATATACAAACATATACACGCAAGCAAAGCCTTGTGCAAAACTATATACTTTGCTACGTTTGTGTGATTAACATTTGTTGGCAACATTTTGGCCGATTTTGTAAAAAATGCACTGTAATAAATGAGATATCATAAATTACCATTATACCGATATACCGTATGATCGAAAAAAAAACGGCGTCCGGTTGGTTTGGAAGTGACGATCGATAACATTCCCTATATAATTTTATATATAAAATGACAGCGATCTTCATTTCATAACCATCGCTGACGCCGTTTTTTTTTTGTTACATTGTAGATTCTTAGATCCAGTCACCTATCTTGGGAACCTTCATTTTGTACTGTAAAGCATGTCTATATTATCTGTCTATTAGGTTCTCTTTAGACTATACATATATTTGATATGTATTACATTGCATTATACAAAATCGACCAATGTAGTTTATTTCTGTTTTATCAAAATCTAGATACTTTTATAGAGTTGGGATAAAATTTAAAATTAAATAAATAAGAATAGTTATTGAAATCGTTCATTACACATGCATTCTACCAAATATAAAATATCGTAAAAAGCTTAAATATTGTAATATTGCGTTATTGTTAAATAAATAAAAGTTGTAATTTATAATGTATCAGATCATGTAGATATATTTCGTAAAAATTATATAAAAAGAGGATTTTTGACTTTTTGTGGTTCCCGATATACCGTATGATCGAAAAAAGGGCGTCAAGTTGACTTGAGGATAACGATCGATGACATTTACAATATAATTTTACATATAAAATGACAGCGACCTTCATTTTCAAACTCCTAACGTGTTTCTTTTTCGATTGTGTGGTATGTTCCAACGCTTTGACATTGGTTGGGTGTGCTTTGTATTGGTAAATTGCACACTAAATTATAAAATTCTGTAGTTAAGTGTAAATATAATTCTACAAATTGGATCTACTTTTATTACCTTTAACGTTTTTTCCTTATAATAGTTTCACACCAGGAAATTTATTTGTGAAAAATTACTTTGGCCAGATATCTTTGTCAAGTTCATGTGACAAAAACAGTGTAAAACGATTTGGGAAGATATTTGATGTTTCTTGAGTAACTTGTAACTTCTAAAATACAGGACGTGGCAAAGTTCGTAACACATGAGAAAGATTCTTTAACAATTATTGAAAAATACAGTTATTGAAAAAGTTCATGTGGAATTTCTTCAGCATGCCCAATAATAAATAAAATCATTCTAGCATGTCATGCGACAACTGCCATGGCGACAAATTGTAAAAATTCTCTATATATTCCACTCTGTATATATGCTACGGCTAAAATGGATACTTGGCTAGTTTTCAAACTAGCCAGCTATTTTGCAACAAGCGCTGTTATTTTGTTGGTTAGGTGTTAGTTTGCAGTGGTGGTTGTGTTGTTTGTTTGCAAAATAGCTGGAGAGTTTGAAAACTATCCATTTTAGCCGTAACATATATAATTTTTGGTTGGTTCTTGGTTTTTGGTCAGTTCATAGCTTTGGTATTTATTTGGCAAAAGAGTATCTTCAATTTATTTGATGTCAAATTGTCATTTCATACTACCAAATAAATTGTACGAGATATTTGATCAAACTAATTTCACTAATAAATTGTCAGGTGTAAAACTGCTACTACACTAATTCAATGCTTCCCTCAGAGAAATAAATAAACTTAGAGGAGCTCATATCTTTGTTGATACAACTGTCACGCTTTTGTGTAATATTAGAAGTAACAAAAAATCACCAGAGCTATAAAATTTGATATAGGTTGCATTTTTTAAATAAAATGCCATGATGTCTTCATTTCAACAGACAGTTTTATTCTTTTCATAATCTTAACTTTTTTTCTTAAATTAATATTAACGGAGATATAGCTAAAATATACGTGTACATCCTGTACTTAAAGTTTTAACGAGAAAAGTCCAATGTGTTTATTGTTATTTTGTTTCACTTTCTTTGCCTAAGCAGTTTTATGGAAGTCTTTTTCGTATCATTTTCATTTATCATTTATTAATTCTAAAGAATGCTGTATAATGACCTTGTTTAGATAAATACACACACCCCTGGTCATCGAAAATCGAAACTGCGTGGTCTGGATTTTAACGTGTAAGACAGTGATGTCGACAGCTTAGTGGAAAATCATTTGTACTAAAAAGTGATAAAAGTTAGATTGATACATTTCTTCTATGCGGTATTGCCGGATTTTGCATTAAAATTTCAAACAGCTTTTTGGTTGGAACTTTTTTCACAATTAGTTACTCATTTTACTACAGCTGTAATAGATTATAGTTAGCTTAGATATAGTATCTTCATTTCAATAGTATACATGAAAGTCCTTAAAATAGTTAATTTTTTTCTACACACATTTTCCGAAAAACGTAAAAACCGGCAACACGTGTGCCGGTTTTTATTTTGTCTCTCTGTCTGTCACCGGTC